AAGATAGGAAGCTGTTTATTTTCCACAGCCAGGTCCTTTCTTCCCCATTAGGCCCCAAGCTAGAGGGAAGCAAGTGCTTGTCTGCTTCATTGCTTTCCTTCAGCCAAACTCCCAGTGCCAGCTGGCTGACAGCTTCTGCCTGTGCATCTCTCCGCTGCCATGGTTCCCTTCCTGGTAGCATGAGGGCGGCACGCACATCCAGCCGTCAGCCTTGGATGGTTTTGGATGTGAGGCAGGAGGTAGTTTTGACACCCCCGTTTTCCCTGCAAAACCTAGGGAGTCTCTCCATGTGGTAGAGAGACCCCTGCAGTTCTCTCCTCTGCATTTTTGCTTCTTGTTGCAGAATGAAGACACAAATCAAACTAAAGCATATACAGTGGTACCTCGAGTTAAGTACTTAATTCGTTCTAGAGGTCGGTTCTTAACCTGAAACTGTTCTTAACCTGAAGCACCACTTTAGCTAATGGGGCTTCCTGCTGCTGCCACGCCGCCGGAGCACTATTTCTGTTCTCATCCTGAAGCAAAGTTCTTAACCCGAGGTACTATTTCTTGGTTAGCAGAGTCTGTAACCTGAAGCGTATGTAACCTGAAGCATATGTAACCCGAGGTACGACTGTACTGCTTACAACAGACCCTCCAAGTGTCCCTATTTTCCAGGGATGTCCCTGATTTAGAGAAGCCGCCCCAATTTCTGATTTGATCTCAGAATGTCATACTTTTCCTTAGGATGTCCCTATTTTCATTGGAGAAATGTTGGAGGGTATGGAGTTATCTGACCCCCCAAGCTGTCTGAAAGCAATCCTGTATAGCAGGGGTGTCCATCGAGTCAGCCGCGATCAACATGTCGATCCCCGGGTGATTGTGATAGATTGTGGTGGATCGCTGGCTCATTTTTCTCCGTGGAGAAAGAGAGCATCCGTGTGTGCCGTCCTGACCTGGCGTGAGTCAGTCGTTGCTAGGCTGCTGGCACCCTGGTACATTGGTGTTTAGGAAGTCCCTGCCAGCAAGCTGCTGCAAGTTCACTCCATTAGGAGGCTTCTTGCATCCCCAACAGTGCCGGTCTACCCATGGCATCAGCTGTCCTTAGACTGTTCTTGGCATCCGTTCCCTGCTTTCCTGCGATGGCCCCAGTGGGGATGAAGCTGTGTCATAGATGAGAGCTGCGGAGCGTCTATTGGTTTGTGAGCGATTTATGGAGTGCCCTCCCCAAAAGCAGGAGAACTATGTTGCTCCCCCTTCCCCCTTTTTTTTAAAAAACTCAACAACTTTGGATCCCCCCCCCAAAAAATGGGTAGATCACTGCCAGTTTTTTTTATTCCAGGAGTAGATCGCAATCTCTTGGGAGTTGGACATCCCTGCTGTATAGGGACAGCCCAGTGAGATGTGGGGTATAAATAGTAAAATTATCATTATGGAATGGGACATCCTTATTTTCATTGGAGAAATGCTGGAGGGTATGCTACAAACAGCAAGGGAATTCTTGTGCAGCTCTTTCACCTTTTGCTGTCCTGTCTCAGTAGAAATCGTCTAGTAAGTGGATAATACAGCTGTTTCCTGCCTCTGAATAGATGCTGTTTATACACAGAGCATTTTGAATAGGTAATGTGTTGTTGACAGCTAGCATGTAGTCATGTCCTTGGACCAAATTCAAGCAAACTTTCTTTTTTTATATAATTTTTTTAAAATTAAAGATTTTATTGGTTTACAAAAGTATGTGCATTGTCTCTTTTTTCAGACAAGCAAGCTTCCTGTGTGTTACATTAGCCTTCCTTGTCATTGCTATTTATACTTCAGTCAGGAATAATAATAATAATAATAATAATAATAATAATAATAATACCCTGCCCATCTGGCTGGGTTGCCCCAGCCACTCTGGACGACATACACAACCAAAATGTTTCCTGCCATTTTGTGCATACTTATACATTGTGTGTTTTCTCCACACACACACACACACACACACACACTCTTTTTCATTTTATTTATAAAGGCTCAGGGTGTTTTTTAAGCAGGAACCTGTGAATTTAATGCTATCCTAGAAGGTGCACAGGCTGACATTGTGTCATCAAGGCTGCTAAAAGGGCAGCACTTACAGGCAACCTGTCCTCTCCCTCCCTGGCCCCTGGTCATTTTTAGCATATGTTTTTATGTTTGCAATACACACGTGTAAAATGCAGGAAATGACTGGTTTCTAAAGGGCTGCTGAATTGCATTTGGAGTATGTTTATTATTAAGGAACAAGCAAAGTGCCTGTCAGGAAGCCAAATGGGAGGAGTCCTCTTAGCTTTCACTGAACCATACGAATCAAACTTGCACTTTGTGTGCGCCTACTGTTCTTGAAAGTTTGAAATACATGAAATGCAGGTGTATGTTCTTTATGGGTATTCTTGCACAGTCTGCTTAATACAAGCAACCCTGAGTATGCTTAGTTGTTAGGATGTAAAATATTAGCCTCATGCACACCATACATTTAAAGCACTATACCACTTTAAACAGTCATAGCGTCTCCCCAATTTCCCCCCCAGAGCTGTAGTTTATTAAGGATGCTGAAGGTCCCTGGGTTCAATTCCTGGCATCTCCTGGTTGAGCTAGGAAAAACCCCTGCCTGCAACTCTGGAGAGCTGCTGGCAACCATTATAGACAAATACTGAGCCAGATGATGCAGTCGTCTGACTTTCATCTAACACTTCCCATCTTCCTTAAGAGATTGATGCAGCAGGACTTGAAAGATTTCATGGCCTTTTGGGGTATCTTTGGCATGTGGTATCACATGTCTCCTTTGTGCTGTCTATGTATTTGGTTTTTCCTTGCTGTTATTTTCCATTTCTTTGGAATCGGTTCTTTTTTACACTGTCATTCTTAGCTCATTAAAAACTATGTTTTAGGAGAGACAAGAAAAGACAAAAGGAGAAAGAATGAGGATATATTAAAAAAGAAAACCTAGTTCATGCCATGTCATAATCATATGGGGCTTTCCAAATGAATAATTTTTCTCGTGGTAGGACGTGGCCAGTTACCCAATGGATTCTTGCCTGCCCATGGGGAATTTCCAGTAGACAGGGCAGGTGACACGGTTGGAGCCCCTGTCAGGCAGTAGGAACAGCGAGACACATCAGGCTCTTGACATGGTTGACTTGAAGTGCCACACTGTTGTTGACACTGTGATTCTACATCAGCTCAAACCTGATGTAATAGGAGGGATTTAAAACATTTTTTTACAGACATCCCTGAATTGACAACCGTCCCACCCATGTTGCAACACAAGATCACAGGATATGGTGTACACAGGACACTACCATGAGGGAGAATTTGCTCAGATGAAAGGCCGCTTGGCAGGGAACTACATCTCTGTAGCCTTATGTTTGCACACTTAGACTTCAGAGGAGGGATAGTCCTTGCCTTGGGACTCCAGACACAAATACTCAATATGAAACCCAAACAATTGTGGGTGCTAAGAAACAGTGTCTTGCATAGGTTGGACCTAAACTGTGTAGCCAGTTTTAAATATGGTGATACCATCATAATCGCCTTGCCACTAAGGAAATTTATTTACCTTTTATTATGAGCACACAGAATAATATACATAAATGTATCAAATATTACACCCCCTCCCCTAATGAATACAAAACAGGCCTTCATAAAAGATACATCTTTCTGACAGTTTTTTTTTTTTTCAGTTTCACCTTGGTTGATTTGAGCACTGGAAAAAAGAGTGTGATCAAAGTGTAATTTAACTCATGAACACACCAGATGAGCAAGAATATAGAGCAGAACCTGTGGCTTTGAGGTGGTATCCAGTGCTGGTCCTACTCAGAACAGACCGAATGAAGTTAATAGACATGACTAATTTAGGTTCATTAATTTTGAGTCTACTCTTGGGATGGACTTACGGTAATTGGATACAGCCCCAGGATGGCCAGTGGCCAGAAAAGATGGGAGCTGTAGTTTGGGAGAATCTGGAGACCACAAGTTCCTCATTCCTGGTACAAAGAATCTGTGGGCTTCTGATTCTGCAAAGGCTTGTGTACTTTCAGATTGTCAAGCCTTAAGCACTTCTTTTGAGTTTGAGATAACAGGAAAACAAAGCGGAAGAACAAATGTGTAGTCTTTCAAAACCAGTGACAAAGATATCAGATTAAAAGCTGTATGAAAAGCACCTCAGAGGGCCTCTTGCTGCACCTCTTTGGGAAATTAGTGACAAAAGCAGCAATTATTAGTGTTGGCGGTTTCTCTCACAAAAGTGTGTTTCTGGATGCTAAATAGTGTTTTATTTAGATAGGGGAGGAGCTGCAAGACTCGGAATTTTCATTTGATAAAGCGAGGAAATAACTTATCCAGAGATTTGACTTTCTACAGCAGAAGTCCAGTCAGGCACTGGGTGAGGATGGGTTGCGAGCAAAGAATGGGGGGAAATGGAAATGGATATGCAGGTTGATCCGATAAAAGGGACGAATACAAAGTGGCAAAAGAGAAAATGGAGGACAGAAAGGATAGGGCAATATTGTGGAAAGGGTGGGGTTGGCGACAGAAACCACAACTGCCAACTTGTTCTCTAGCGTATATAACATTTTGCATTCGGAAGCTTGTCTCTGACAACCCTGGCCCATTTAACGCTGAAGAGGAGAAATAAATAAAGCGGGGGAGGGGGAGAGAAGTCAAGTCCCCCTGCGCTCAGAGTTAAGGCACAATATGAGAAGAGACGAAAACACCCCAAAGCCACAGGGCGCAAAGTGGGCAACCTCGCACATGGGAAGAGAACGGAGCCACCCCGCTTCCTCCTGCCTGTTTCCCTTCCTCCCATATTCCCCGCCCCGGAGGAGGGAGCTGCTCCTCCTCCTCCTCTCCTTCCCACAGCCGCCGAGGCCGCGCGGGGAGGCGGCAGTCCACGTGCGGGAAGGCGCTGGCTGATCTCCCGCGTTGTTAAGGCCGGCCGGCGAGGCTCCTCCCTTTCCTTGTATTCCTCCGGCCTGGGGAGCCTCGCCCCGATCAATCCTTTCCCTCCCGCCGGGGTTCTAACTTCGACCCTGCAGGCGGCAGGAGCAGCTGCTCTGCCTCTGCCCCTTTAAACCCTCGCCGAGGGAGGGAAGGCCGCCCTGTTTTCCCCGCCTCCCTCCCCTCCCACTCGCCAGGCCCGGCGCGTGAGGCGAGCTCGCGCTAGAGCGCAGGCGGAGCAACGACCGAGAGCGGCTGTTGCTTGTGGCGGCGGCGGCGGCGAAGGAGGAAGCGGGACTCGGCAGCGGAGTCGGAGCGAAGAAGAAGGGTCGGACTGAGGAGACGAGAGGAGGAAGGGGGGGGGAAGTGCCCTCGCCTTCGCCGCCGCCCTCGCGACGTTGCCCCGGAGCTACTTTAGCCTTGGCATTTCTATCTATTTAAAACCCCTCGCTTGTTTGTTTATTTCCCCTGGCGGCCGCGAATGTTGCATTGGCCGAGCCCTGCGCCAAGAGGAGACGGGTCCCTCCCCTGCCGTAACCAGGGCCAGGCAGACAAGGGCACGCGGGCCTTGCAGCAGCGGCGGCAGCGGCGGCAGCCCAGCCTCTCAGTGCCTTGGAGCGAAGAGGAGGAGATAGAAGAAGAAGAAGGGGCCGCCTTCTTCCCGGAACCAGCCGCGGCTGGGTGAGCGAGCCGCTGCCGGGAAAGGGGGTGGGGAGGGGAGGGCGGGCGGGCGAGGAAAGTGTGGGGAAGGGGCTGGCGGTGGGGCTGAAGGCGCGTCCTTCTCTCCACCCCTCCCCACCTCCTTTGGTTCTTTGTTAGCCAAGCGCGGAAGGCAGGCAGGCAGGGGGGGGGGGCTGTCAAGAGTTCCTGGGCTTTCCCCTTTCCAGACACGCACACCTGCTCTGCGGAGCCCGGGGGGTGGGTGGGGTGGGGGCGGCTTCTGGAAAATAATAAAAGAGCCGCCGAGTACAGACGGCGACGGTTTGGGTGGATTTGGGGCAAAAGGGCGGAGGGCGAAGATGCTTGAGCCCTGTTTTCTGCGGGAGCATCTGTGGATGGAGACTGACAGCCACTCTCTTCGTCTCTCTCTCTCCCCCCCCCCCGAAAAAAATTCCTGCAGAGGATTAGATTCCCAAGGGTGACGGTGGGGGGAGAAATCCTGGGAAGAAATCCCATCATCGCCTGGGAAACTTGTCAGGACAAAGCTGTGGTGGAGATGCCAGAACGCTTAAAGTTGCTGGAGGATGGGCTAGTTAGCTGCAGCAGTTTTTGGTGATCTGTGACCCTCTTTTAACCCACACAAACATTCAGCGACCCTATTGTTATTATTAGTTTACCTTTTGTTTCTGCAATCATTGCACTGCTGTGCTAACCTGTCTTAGTCCAGGCTATGTCCCAAACCACTAGTTGAAGACCAGTGGGGAACATGGATTCTCAAATGCAGATGTGCCTGTCCTGTGTCTGCATTGGGGGCAGCTACTAAAGAGAATTCTGGGGCTTGATGATATAACGGAACACAATCTTTATTTATGCCATGTCTCTGAAACCTCCTTTTAGCGGGTGGTGTGGGTGGTGAAATGACTCTTAGGCTCTGGTAATGTCTAGTTTCTTTGTGTCTGAATCTGTACTTTGGGCGCTGCTCTACGAATGCTGAATTTCCTGGGGAAAGTTGTGTGGCTGTAAGTAACTACCTCACTCTTTTAAAAAAGAGGAATAGGGGAAGAAAGAAGACTTTTAACAAAATAATAAAAATCTGTATCTCTTTAGAAATTTGTGCTACTTTACAAAAGCCTTTTGGGCTTTAGAAGATGAAATATTGCACTCATATGCTTATCTCTGTTTTAAAATAAGTTGTGAGGTGTAATAAGAAAATAGTTGTGCCTATGAATAAGAATAAAAGTCCATTATTGGATTTAAGAGAGAGTGAATGCATTGCTTTCCAGTAATGTGCTCCTCTTCCACGAAACTTTACGTAAGAATTGCTAATCGTATATACGGTAATCGTGGCTGGTGTGCTGATCCTGTTTGAGCCTAATGTTAGCTGCTAGGATGTGTTCTATAATAAACTTAAAGTAGAAAAAAGCAGCACAGCCTTCTGCTGACAAAAGGTCTTCTCATGTATTACTGTAGTTCTCCTTTCCTATAAAATGTATATGCAAGACCAGCTTGAGTGGTACATTGACACTTTCTATTGAATATTTCATTCAAAGTGGTGGTTTCCCCCTGAATATTAGCATATTAGTGCTGAGGAGCTGAATTTTTATACAAGGCCTCTGTCTGGTTTAAATTTTGTTCAATATTTGGACATACTTTTTTAAAAAATCTTTATATTAAAGGGTGGGGGATTGATGAGATTCTCAGTTTTTAATTGTTGTCCTATGCTGAAGAATTGCATCATAGAGTTGACATTCACTTTTCGGGTACATGTGTGTGAATGTACACCTGTCCATGTTAGGTCTGCCCCCCATTGGCTTTGTAGAATTTTGTAAGCTCTGCTACTATACACATAAAACAAACAATTGAATCTATTTAGTACATAGCTTTTTTTGTTTACTAAATTCCGTGTTTCAGTATCAGTATACCTATACTTATTTGTTATTTGAAATAACATTTTTATTCTAGGCCTGTAAGCAAGAGTCACCACTCTAGTATCAAAAGTCCAGGGACTGAAAAAAGCAAAAATGGTTGAGATATGTTGGTCTTTAGATTCTTCCTGAATGGCTATACTCAACTTACAGTACACGGTAATTTAAAATGTAATAGTGTCTGATGAGCAGAGCTCCACACATTTGGATCCCCAAATTTGCAAGCCTTAGCTAACCAAAAACGTTTTGAAACTGCTAGGATTCTCTTTGTGTGCTGTACAATCATAACCTCCTGCTCCTTTGCCCAGCTCATAGTGTAGAAGTAGGGAAGGGATCAGTTTTCCCTTCAACCATAGCTGCCTTCTCCACCTTGGAGCTAGAGAGTGGAGTGAAGATCTTCCCTGAATTCGGCTGCATTTCTGAGGCACTCTGGTGTCCCGAAAGTATAGTGCATCCACAGGAAAAATCACTGCCCCATCTGACAGGTTCAGAGGAAGACACCAGCTGATGGTCTCATCAGAAAGTGTGGTAGACGAATTTGTGGGTCCCTGCTGAGGAGTAATTTAAGAGACACTAGTTTGGCAAGCTTCAGTTCTTAGGAAATGTGGGGTTTTTTTGAAGTTTTTGAATGTCATCACAATTTATTGTAACCTTGTGTCATACATTTGTCTGAACTGGGAAGGAAGTGAAGATGTTGAAATGTCTTGATGATGCTTGAAGTTGTTTGTATCTCAAGTACTGCCAATTTATTTTATTGTGCTTTCTTTATGTTCCGGTAAATGCTATTGTGTACCAAGACTTCACTTGGCAGGCTCTCTTCTAGCATGGTAGATATTTAGGGTTTTTCTTTCTTTCTTTTTTTAAATGAAGTGAGTTTCTTAAGGAAAGTGAAGAAGTGTTTTTAACAAAAGAGAATGTTGTTTTCCTAATACAAGTTAAGATTTTTCTAAACTCTGCTCAGGGTTGTTGAAATAGTCTTGGAACTATAGTATCGAAAGCCTGATGCTTGGGTGCGGAAGCAGGAGGAGGATGCCACTTTGTCTCCTTCTGTAATAAAATGTACTTGCCTGTCCCAGAACTACGGCAAGAGAGAAACGGAAATGCTTGCATAGGCCTAAGAAATTTTTCAGACAGGGTACTGTCCCCACCAGAGAATGACAAAACAGTGTTGTGAGTGATGTTCTTTTTTGAATGCTAAACATTGAAGCCCATTTATGTGGATTTATGGACAATGTGTGGATAACTTATACCTGGCAACTAGGGCTACAGTGGCACATCCACCCCCACCCACCCCCGTAACTACTTCACAACATATAAAAACAGCAGTTCCCTTTCAAGCTATGCCTGCACATGAAATTCAAGAGATGGTAGCAACTGAAATTTCTTAAATTCTTCTTACCTTTACCTTAAAAACAGAGTATATTTTCCCTTTTTTGTTAACTAATGGTTTGGCTTTGTTTATACAAGATTGTGTAAAATAACATGGATATTTGTATTTAGCTTTATCTGAATTATTGGCTAGGACTTATGCTTGCAGGAACAAAAGAGAGCGTACTTTGCAGTCATACTTGGGGCACCCTCTTGGTTGGCTTCACTACATGGGAACTGCTGCAAACTGTGCAGCTTCTTCCCATGCCACTTGCATAATATAAGAAGTCTAGACTTGAACTGCAGTGTTCTTGCTCCCACTCTACAAAGATAACATCCGGAGGAGCCCTCTGACTCAGTGAATGTAATTTGATTGACTTACAAAATCAAACATGCATTGGATTAAATTACATGCCCACAGTGCCATATAGGTAACTGGGCAGTTTTCTCTCTCTTGCAGGTAGCGGCAGCAAGTGCAAAGCAGCAGCTCCATAAGTGGCCTCTGTAGCAAGAGCTGGAGCCTGCTTAGTCTGTGTGCCTGTCTGCAAGGAGGAAAACCTATGTCATTGCATATGTTTTATTTACAATGTCTTCTGGGGAACTTTGATCCTTAGAATCTTATGAGGGGTTTTCAGTGAGAAATCAGAAAGAGCAAAGAAACTTAGAAGATAGCTACCTAGCATTCCTTCTCTTCACAAACAGTGAGTACAGTCATACTTCGGGTTGAGCGTTTTCAGGTTGCACTCTGCGGCGACCTGGAAGTAATGGAACCTGTTACTTCCGGGTTTCGCTGCTCGCGCATGCGCAGACACTCAAAATGACGTCGTGCGCGGAAGCGGTGAATCGCGACCCATGCAGACGCGGGTTGCGTTCGCTTCAGGATGCGTACAGGGCTCCGGAACGGTTCCCGTTCGCATCCAAAGGTACCACAGTAGTTGAAGGAGTGTTGGGTGTGTCCTGAGTCACATTATGTTCGGGGGGGGGGGCAAGAGTGAAGCCCAACAGGGCTGGTGCATGCCTCATATGAATGGTACCCAAGAACATGTTCCAGAATCCTTTGCATAGTACAGTGGTTTTTGATTGGCAGTTGAAAGTTATGAAAACCAGTTTCCCCCTCATAAATAACTGAGTTGTCAGGGCTAAGTTTGGTTTAATTTTCAGTTTGTGGTTAAGGCTCAGAAATACATTTGTTGTCAGGTAAGCTAAACTCTATTGCATGTGTGCCGTTGTTGTTGTTGTTGTTGTTGTTGTTGGTGGTGGTGGTGTTGTTGTTTATGAATCACCCTTCCTTTAGTATCACCCCAGGCAGTGTCCAACAAATGATAATAAAATTACTTTAATGAGTAAAGCAACTAGAGAACTAAAATAATATGGTCAGGCTTGTGGCTGGGTTAGTATTATTATTAGTAGTAGAATTTATTAAATTTGTATACTGACCTTCATCCATAGATCTCAGGGTGGTTCACAGCATAAAAATACAAGATAAAAACACAACATGCATAATAAAAACAATTCAAAGATACAGTATAATATGCAATAAAAGTCCTTATGTATTGAGCACAGTCAGCATAAAGACCCACAAATATGAAAATTACTTTTTGTGTACTCCAAAGCATAAAAAGAACAATGGACAATGAACAATAACACAGTTAGGACAATAATACTTTGGAACAAACAGTTATAGATATATTTTGACAATTACCAGTAAGTCTTTTTCAAATTTGTCCCAATCAATCCTAAGTGTGGGTGTCAGGGGAGCCTCTCTAAGAAGACATTGTACAGCTAGGGTGCCACCACTGAAAAGTCTTATTATTGATACTATTACTATTAATAAGGGGCTTTCCATTCAAAAGTGACCCAGGCACAATATAAACACTAAAACCAATTATAGCAAACAACCAATAAAAACTTCAATCGGATTGCTGCCTGCTGGATCTCGTTTGGTGGAACACCTGAAAAAGGTCCTTGATGTCCTTAATGTGGCAGGTGTTACGTGAAAGGAGACTATTGTTCAGATAACATGTCTGCAACCTTTTAGGGCTTTAAAAGCTTAATATTGGAACTTTGAGTTGGGCCCAGAATAATACTTGAAGCTAGTGCAAAAGAAAGAAAGAGCGGGATGGAGGGAAGCAAGCAAGTACTGGTGTATTATGGTCATAAGGTCCAGTTCTAGTTGACCATCTTATTTTGGATCAACTGAAATTTCTGCAAGGTTTTCAAAGACTCCCCCATGTATTGTGTGTTTCAGTAATACAAAGAAGAGGTTACCAGAGCATGAATCACTGCAGCTGCTTCCCTGTGCTGTTGCTGTTCTAGCTACCCAATGACTTTGATGTTAAAATTGCTCAAGGCTTTGGCTTCTAATCTAGACAGTATTAAGTAAACTGCAGAAGAAAAAAATGTTTTCTTTCCATTACCTTTTCCAAGTGCTTCTAGTGAAGCAATTAAAAGGAAGAAACATGTATAAACCCCAGCAAAGGTTAAGAATGGCCTGCATACAAATCTGATCAGACTAAAAAATTAGCCCCCTTTACTTAAGCTACGCTGTCAAGACTGATTTGACATCTGCTTTACTACCAGGGGAGCATACAAAAAAAGTGACAAAATGTTTCCTAATTTGTTAGCAGGTCAGGGATTGTCATGAGTTAGATTAGACATGAGAAAGTTGAAGTAAGGAGTGTTGGTTGTGCTTTTGTGCACTTTCCAGTTTCCTTGAATATCCCTTGTTTTCTAGTAGTATAATGATATCAGAACATTTATGAGTGCCAATACTCTGCTTCGTTAATTCATTAGATCCAGGGCTGAAAAAATCCCAGGCACCTAACATTTAAGTATCAGCATTAACTCTTTCACTTGGATGTTCTCCATACTGAGATGAGGACTGACATTTGCAGGGGGTGGGGGCACTGGTGGAGATCACAATGCTTCTGCTGTAGTGGTTTAATGATTTGCATTAATTACTATTTTAAGGTGATTTCACTGTGTTAGGGGAAAGTTTCAAAGAAGTGGTAAACATGGGTGTGATTATTTGGCAGTGACTATGGAGAACACTGCCCTTTTGAAGTCTATGAAATTTAATTTGATATCAAGATTCTTGCCACCTGACAATGTATTCTTTTGTTAATGTCAGTTTTTGGAGAGAGGAAGGAAAATGTCACTGTTACTACATTGAGTTTTTTAAAATTATTGATGAAGATCTGTGCACAAATCAAATGGAATATAGTCATAGTGACTACAGTTCCAACTTAGAAACTATACTGAATGTCTAATTCTTCCTGATGTGAATTCATATCAAAAAATAGAAGGACGGCATTTAACTTTCAACATTGATTGCAGCACAAAGAGAGAGTGCAAACAGGAAACTTGTTCTGTGGTGAAGTTTGCAAACAGGAAATTTTCACAGAACAAACATAGCTCAAGTATAACCTAAGAGAGATAATAAAAAAATGTTTTTCTGTAATGTCATGATATTTTTTACCAAGTATTACTTGTAATTCCTCATGCCAAATTTTATTGAGTTTTTTTGTGGTATTTGCCCTGCTTTTACTGGAAAGGGGCAGAGGAGTGCTTCTCTTTCCTTATTTGAATTGAGTCAGTTCAGCATTCACCAACAGAGAGCTAGGGATGAGGGACAAAACTGAACAATGGAAGAATGTCAATTGCAATACCTACATTAATATCACATTGGGACCTTAAAGGTTCACAAAAATGGAAGATTGGAGTAGGAGGCAGATATACTCTAAAATCAGATGTACATATTGAGATCCATCTTCACTGAAGAAAGGATCGTTTTGTCTCCTGTCACTTAAATACCTGCAAGGAATTAGCAGTCTTGGAAACAACCCAACCTTCCTTTAAATCTGCTTCACACACCCAGAGTGGAATGTAGTGGTATTCTTTCTTGGCAGTCTTAAGCTACTTCAATGTTTCTGTTGTTTTAGCTTTATTGTAATGCTTCAGTAGCTAATGAAGCACAAGAGGAAGCAAAATCGGTTTCTACAAATACTCAAGCATGAAAATTCTGTTGTTTAACTCTCTGCCTGTACCGCTTTTTAAACTGATGAATGGCACACAGGCTGAAAGCTATTTTAATATATAGAAAATCCTCTTTTCAAAACGTATTAATCAGTGTGGTGCAACTTTTTTTCCTTAGTAACTAATGTATACTTACAGATATTGTATGTGTCTTGGATGTCTGATTCTAAATACAATTATCTAAAACTAAGCTAGCATTAGAAAAATCAGGAAGCTTGATGGCTGAATTGGAATTTTGAACCTGTGTTTGCAACATTCAGCCTTGGACTTCTGGCACTGCACTGGATCTTGGGAACAGTGAAATTGTACAGGAGACCTAAAATAATTATGCAACTGGCTACTGACGATCCATGGGGCTTTTGCCTGGAATACTGAAACACAGCTCAGTGCATATGATTACAATATATAAAGACAAACTGGACACGTAACTCTGAAACTTTGGTGCCTCTAGCATGCTGCAGCATGTAACCATGAAGAATGTGTGTAAGGTGATAGAACAAAACAAAGGCAACTTCCTCCTTTCTTTTTCCTAGCCATAAAGAACAGCAGTGTGGCTGTTCAGATTTATTTGTTATCTTTCACTAGCCTTAGTTCTTTTGGCACATTCAAGATAGTTCTTTGGACAGTGGACGCCACAGAAGGGATTTAGAAGTTCCTGCTGTGGTTGAATGACAAAAATCAGTGAGGACAGAGAAACCTGCAGGCAAAAAGTGTAATGAGGAAAATGTTAATTACAAGGTTTTGGTTTTCAAGTTAGTTCCCTAAAGCAAATCTCTTGGGGGCTAACTACACAGATGCATAAAACAGAGCTGTGATTCTGAAAAGCAGCTTCAGAAGAAAGCAAAGTGGCAGGGAAGGAGGTACATAATCCTCTTCCTACTTGCTGTTTCTTGGCTTCACATGGCACCCCAAGCATTTTCTCCCCTACATGGGGGTCCAGATGCATGAATCCTGCTTAAAACGAAGAAAGAAGATAAACTTGAGCAGCGAGAGGTGATATTTCAAAGGAAGTCTGAGATTCCCTTTAAGCATTGCTTTTCTGATAGCTGTTTCACATTTTGAGTATTATTAGCAAGCATATTCTGTATGCTATGTGTACCTTTCAGAGTTTACCATAGCAGATATGGAGTAAGTTATTTTCTCATTATGTGTATTACGGAGGGAATCTGGGCTGTGTTTTCCAAGCTTGCTTGTGGGGTGTAAGGGAGGATGAATTTGTCTTGGGCATTACTGGGAACATTGCTCACAATTTCAGTAGACAGATGAGTACTCAGTTTTCTTGTAAAGTGTGAAGTTATGTAAGTTGTTGAGCTAATGGAAACCAAAAGGAGCACAGTGGCTTGAAGTACAAAGGTGGATTTAGGGATTAATGTGTGCATGTTATCCTACTGCTAATGCAATGTAATGAGCTGCTTGACACACAAATGTAATCTTTGGTCATATTGGTGGAATATGGATGTGACTGCAGGTGAATGAGCAGTTTAGAAGCAGAGGAGCTGGCTAATTTCCCATCTGCTGTCTGTGCTAATATTTCTATTATCTGAATCTGCGTTGAGATTTGCTGTTACTCATTGTATTTGGAATCCAACACATTGCTTCAGCTAAAATTCACTCCTGTCTTTGTGAAATGGTCGTGCAAGAATTTTATTTTAAATGAAGCACAACGTGAAAGGCTGATGTAGATTATATTTAAGACTGCTTCTGTTAGTTCACAATATAATAAATGCAAGAGCAAAGATTGGAGGGAGTTAAGCAGTAATAATTTGTGTTTGTTTCCTGAGTGTCTAATGGTATTTCAGTATGTGCATTTGGTTACTTGTTCCTGAATAATTTGGTCAGGGTGCCTCTTCCTGTGCTATGTTTGTAAGTGAGCTTGTGTACCCTGGAAAGGTTTCCTAATATGGTTCAGCCAACAAAGCTAGCTTATGGTGAGGAGGTGGGAACTTAAGAGCAATGCTAAAAAGAGCATGTTAACTCACATTTATTTTCATCTTGTCCTTGTCTGACACCTCACTAGTTCCTGTTTGTTACTCTGTTGTTAATCACAGAAGACCATTGCATTTAATATTGATTAATTGTAGACTACATTTTACAGCCTTCACCTCAGATAATCAACTTGGGTGGTGATTAACAAATGCCTATACTAGGGGTCAGCAAACTTTTACAGCAAGGGGCTGTAACATTGAGTTACAGCCCCTTGTCCCTCAGACCTTGGGGGGTGACTGGACTATATGGGGGGGGGGGGGAGAAAAAAGAACGAATTCCTATGCCCCACAAATAACCCAGAGATGCATTTTAAATAAAAGCACACAATCTACTCATGTAAAAACACCAGGCAGGCCCCACAAATAGCCCAGAGATGCATTTTAAATAAAAGGACACATTCTACTCATGTAAAAACATGCTGATTCCTGGACCGTCCACGGGCTGGATTTAGAAGGCAATTGGGCCAGATCCGGCCCCTGGGCCTTAGTTTGCCTACCCATGGCCTATAATAAGAGAAGTCATTGTTCCTGATCACAGAAACTAAGAGTATTCTAGGTATAGCGATGAATTATCTTTTCAGATGTCAACTGGGAATTATGCAGCATGCCGCTACTAGTAAATTAATGTCCTTGAATCCAGGTGTTTCAGTGTAAGCGTCTCAATGTTACTGTATGCTTTTATAATTTGAAACTGTTCTTTTACTTGGCTTTTCTGTATATAATTATGAGTTAGGCTTAAATAAGAAACAATAGGCGGAGACATGTGGGGAGGAAGACTTCTTCACCAGAAATCCTATGGCATAAAAGCCTGAATTCTTCAGGTAGAAATAATAGTCTGAATTTTTTTGGGGGGGAGGAAGAGACTATATATGATCTTTCAGATGATGCTCTTACACATTCTGTAGTCACATTCAGTAGTGTGTTATTTGTCAGTCTTCTGTAACCACATCTGCTTAAATTAGAAAATGACAGACTTTATTTTAGGGCAAAATTTGTTACTCTTCTTAAATGTATAGGCCTTTTGTTTTTCTTGGCACTATAAGATGCTTTAAGATAAAAGTGCTGATGCAGGCTGTGGATAAGAAATGGCCAGGGCTGCTTTTGAGGCAAGGCAATGTTTTAATATGGGCTGCTTTTAAATAGTGTGCTTTTAAGCCTCGGTATTTGCAGTTTTTGAAGTGGCTTCTCAGCATTGAAATGGTTCTGTATTGCACAGGCTACCAGTTTGATAAAAATATAGTCCCAAATTAGTTAAAATAAAGCCCCTCCCTCCTTGCAACATTACTTTTGTTTTTGGAGTGTGTTTGTTTAATTAATGTAAAGAATGGGCAATTGGGAATGGAGAAATGGTGTGTGTGGGGGAGAGAGAGAGAGAGAGAGAGAGAGAGAGAAAGAAACCCTTTCCTTACCTGTTGTTTTCTGCTTTAAATTACTCAATCCCCCATCCCCACTTTCTGGAGTTATAGAGACATGTTGAAGAACAAGCATCCATTTGGAAATTTGTGGGAGGATACTTTGAATGGGAGGCTGTTCAACCTTTTCCTTGCCGATAGGTGTAAAACATTTTTCTGGGAAACCCTTAATTTTGTAGCTGTAACACAAGGGCAGTAAAAACTGACTCTGTAGACTTCAATCATCATTTTCTTTTAGACATTATCATTGTGTAGGAATAAAAATTTCAAACTTCTAAGAGGTAGCATAAGAATTTCAAGCGACTGGAATTTTTCCAGTTTACTTTTCATGCACTGTTCCATAATTTTGCAGTAGATGCCAGGCAGCGGAATAGGAGAAGGCTGAGTGCAGAATATAGGCTGTGAGCCGTGCTTTCAGTTCAGTTAGAAGCTTGAGAATCCAAACTGTGAAAAAGAAAAGTATTGCCGATAAATTTCTGCAAACGCATAGGTCAGGGGATTAAAAAGGGGGCAGGGGGGGAAAGAAAACAAGAGTATGGGTTCCATTGATCAGAAACTAGGACCTTCTCACTCTGTAGCAGTGTTAGAAATTCCCCAAGTTCCAGGCACGTTTTGCAGCTGGTGTGAGATCTCTGGATACCAGGTTGGCAACTGATATCTCCACCTGGCTGCCCCCCCAGCTTTTTAAAGCCAGTATACAGAAAGCTTATTTGTTGTATTTATATCCCACCTTTTTCTTCAAGGAGCCCCCCCCCCAGTTAATCCCTACAATGACCTTGTGCGGTAGACTTAAGAGGCTGTTACTGGCCCAGGCTCACCCAATGAGCTTCATGACTGAGTGGGAATTTGAACCATGATTTCCCAGGTCCTAATCCAACACACTAACCACTACACCACACTGGCTTCCTAGAGTACGTCTGTTATGGGGCAGCTATATAATTTAAGTAGGTAAATAAATGTGAGGAAAGCAAAATGTCACTTAGAGAAGGATCTGAAATATTTTCCTTGAAGCTTGAATTTGTCTTATTCTGGATTGTTTTATTTGATGTTTTAATGTGCTGTAAACTGCTTTGAGAATTTTTTTTCTTTAAATATAAAGCAGTGTAGAAATGAAAATAATAATGAATTCCACTGCAAAAAAAAAACCCCACCTCTGTTGTGTGCCTAGAAATTCTGTTGTGGCAACTGTAACCTAGGTTTAAGGTGCCACTTGGCAATTAGCTTATATATCTGAGTTTCTAACACTGCTCTGCAGACTTGTGTAACTTGTTTAGGGATTTCAAATGATACTCTTAGAAGCATTCTGTAAAAGTGTCCCATCCTGTTCTATCCTAGTCCCGAACAAATCCCCAAATTTGCAGGAATTATGTTAATAACCTCTCTCTCACACACCCAGATATCTGTGTAGTTCCCATATTTGGAGTTTCTGGCCATTCAGTGCTTTACATTAAGTGTAGACTTCTAGATTCAATTGTATCATGTTTAGGCCCAATTTTCTTCTTTGTTTGTGATTTAGGAGGCCTGCCGTCCTTGAAAAGCTGAGTTTGACTGAGGTGTGTAAGCCAGGAGTCTAATTTTTCTGTTCATAAAAACTGTATATGTAACAACAGGATCTTAAACATAACAGTAGTTTCATTTTTGCTTGAATTGAGTTTTTGCATTCACCATTTCCACTTCTTGTTTGTGATAGTTGACTCAGCATTTAAATCTTTATTGGGTTAGTTTTGATCTCTGGCCAACTCTGTTGGTTAATTTGATTTAACTGTTTTGTGTAGCAAACTGTAACAATTCAGCACTGTTGAGTTTGATTTCTCCTCAGTGAAATATCTTAAAATTTGAACTTTTGGCAGTTTGTCTTGTGTTGCTGAATCATTTTTTAAAACCACTGCAGAAGGAGGGACAAATAGACTCTTTTGTTTATATTTAAAGGATTAAAATGCTGCATTCAAGCCAGGCCCACAACCTTAGTTGGCATCTGTCTGTCTCAGGAGACAATGGAGGAGGGCGTCATTGGAGGTAAAGTCAAACTGTTGAAGAGTTACAGTGCCTGTTGTGTTGTTGGACCTCAACACTTTTCATCTATCCTCTCTAAAGACCCAGATCGTCCTATGTCAGCTCGCTCATTCCTCCCATTCCTTCAAGGAGTAGCACTTCTCTCCCTGTCTGTGCGACATAAATTCCCCACCTGGAATCTGCATACTGTCTTATCATCTCTATAATGTCCTCCTTTTGAGCTACTCAAGTTGGTCCCTCCTACTATCCTTTAAAGTCCTGTGCCTCATAGTCACTACCTCCACCAGAGGCATTTCAGAACCAAATTCATTGTCAGTTGAGAGACATCGTTGTGTTTTCCACAGAGAGAGATAGTAATTCCTTCCAAAGGTACTTTCACAATTCCACTGCTAACAAGACCTGATTCTTCCATCATTCTGCCATTTTCTGTTACATCTGTCAGAAAAGGCAGGGCACTCCCTTGATGTTCGTTGAGAAGTGAAGGTATACATTCATCGTACACGGTTCATACAACAGACCAGCTTGCTCTTCAGCTCCTTTCATCCTCTCCTGAAGAGGAAAAGAGTTGAATTCACTACTCTAGCTGGATGGCAGAAACAATGCATTTTGTTGGCTTGTGTTTCTCTTAACCTGCCTCCACCTACTTGACTAGGACAGCAGCACTCTTGCAGCCTTCTCCCTAAATGCCCATCTACAAACAAGAGTTTTGCAGAGTGGTCACATGGTCAGCATCTTCCACATTCCTTTAGCATTACAAAACTGACACTTTGGCTTCAGCTTCAGCTGCCTTTGGAAGGAGGGTGTTGCAGCATCTTCTTCCATTCACTGTTTGTCCCTCCCTTCATGGGTCTGTAGGCTTTTGTACATCCCAATCTGGCCGCATTTGTTTCTGTGAAAGGTTTTTCTGGATCCCATAAAAGCTACTGCCAGAGCCCACCCAGGCTGTCAGCAGCTGTTTATTCCATTGCACCTCATCACTTGTCTCCCCCTTCCCCCAATAGTTCCTCCATCATACTTCTCTACCTTTCCTACCAGAGTCTCAGTGAATTTTAAAGGCAACCTTTCTGTTAAAGCTGTCTTCCATGCTATACTGCTACCGAATCTCCTTGCTTTCTGGCTTGTTATTTAAAAACTGAAGAAGGAAGGGGAGGGGAGGAGCTGTAACAGCAACTTCCTGTTTGAATTCTTTATTTTTTGCAAGCTTGCGATGTTACCTACTGACCGCTTGGTGGTGCCTATCCTAAATCCCAATCTGGCAACAGTTTTTACAGGATCCAGAAATACCTTTCATAGTAAGTATAATGGATTTGCTTTTTCCCTTGAAGAAATATGCAGAATCCTGGTACTTGTGTGATTTGGGCTAGGCAATCTCCCTGCTTTCTAGAGAGGAAAGGCATGAAACTGTTCTGAAAGGTCGAGTCAATGGCCCTCCATGGTTTTCCATGGGCCCTCAAAATATGAAGAGATAGGAGGCAAAGGTGGATCTGGTGAGCTGATTAGAAGGTAGATAATAATCCCAGGGGCATATGTGCGCTGTGCTACAGGAGACCTCTGATTTCTGTGGCTCTCTCTCTCTCGGTGCAGCTGCTATAGAGTAACCTTTGCTAGCCCCCTCTGCCTTGCATGTGTATTTAGAGGTGTTCTAACATAATCTTGTATTGTTTTGCTGAACTGAAAACTCAAATTGGTGTGACTGAAATTTGTTGATTGTTGTCCCTTTTGATTTGCAAGCTGTCAGTTGCCAGGTTTTCTCTTCCACAGCTACCTGTATAGCCCTACGCTCCTCAGCATCCTGTAGCTAATACATCATGTTTTTAACCTAAGGGCATGATGTCCAGCTGCACCATGATGATGTTTTTGGACAATCCCTTCAAAGCAGTGCCCTTATCATGCCCTTATCATGTCAGGGTTTGCAGAAAGCAGAAATGTCTTATAAGAAACAGATGAGTGGTGATCATGATCTGCTGGTATTTTATTACAGCTCAGTGGACACTTGAGACTGCCTTGGCCTTATCCACTTAGTGCTTCCTTGACTAGCAGTGATCTTTGTGATAGATTCCCTTTTCTCCCTTCTTCCTTCCAAAGTAGAAAATCTATATGTCCTTGGGTACAGGGCACAATACTTCCTTGCCAGCTTTGTTGTCTGGCTCAAGTAACAAGGCATTCCATATTCATGTTGCTGTGCTACTTTTTCCTAGACATCAGTTAACTGAGTGGTTTCAAGTTGGCCTTCTCAAAAGCACGAATATTTTTTTCCTGAGGGTGCTTGGTTTATGTGTACTGTTCTCTTAAAAGTCTGGCCATTGGGTGGATGTGACTGTAAGGAATGAATGCCTCTGTTGTCTTCTAGAACATAAAGGCTACTACTGTCAGTAACAATCTGAAGATTCATGGAGATTGTTGGGTTTATAGCATTAGTCCCTTTCTCTCTGGCCCTTAGTATTCATTTCTGCTTCAATTAATGGTATATTCAGAAAGAAGTTACACTCTTGCTTAGTTCCCAACCCACTGTTTATTTTAGAATATAATGTTGAAGACACTTCATTGGATAGTTCATACACTGATACTATCAAAAACAGTGCCATTTCTAGGTCTGGAAGAGACTGGTTCACTTTAAACTATTGGTGCAGATGCACGTGTATGAGACTAGTGGTGGACTTTCTGGTTTTAGACCTGGTTGCCCAGTGTCTTTAATTTTGTATGGGCCATTTGCAGAAGAGTAAATTGTTTAAAAGGCATGCCAATAGCAGGTGAATCAAGATTTGGAGAATCTCAAAGAATCTGATACTGGCACTATCAATCAACTTTTATTGTATATAACCAAAGGCCTTTACAATGGATGACAGAGAATTAAATGAAACTTTAATCTAAAATCATGTACATAACCTGTAGCAGTTTACAACATAAAATGAATTTACCACATTAAGACTTAAGATGGGAGTGCATTCACATAGCTGGAACAGAGCTTCTTGGCTGCCAGCGCGAATTTGACTACCTGGTATGTAATATATAGATGTTTATCTGCTAGATGTTCAGCTGTCACTTCCTGTATGGATCAACCTGGAAGCCAATTAAGAATTGGTGATATAAATTTTCCTCTGGGCGTTGTATACAGGGGAACAAGTCAGCAGGTAGTGTGTGATGTCTTCTACCTGATTGTATCCATTTGCGATCCGTATGGGGAATTCCCCGGTATCTCCCCTCTAAATATGCCAAGGGCATGTGTTGAAATCTTAGTTCTACAAAGACCCTGCATAGTTGTGGGAAGGTCAGAGTCTCAAGGTAATGGGGCCTTGATTGGTCTTAATTTGGGGGTACCAAGTAGAGTAGCATGGAGCAAAGATGGATACTCTGTCTTGGTTGGCATCCTGATCAAAAATCCAATTTCTAAGGTCATGTGGGCTAAGTAATTCTCCATTTGGATAAGCCCTAAGCTTATCTTGGCACTATTGTGCCCAGCCTCTGTCCTTAGTTGCTCTAACCAGCAGAGCTTAGTAAGAGTATGATCTTCAAAGGCATTTAGCCTGCACCAGTATCTCAGATAGGCTAGATCAATTCTGGCTGCTAGCGAGGGAAGGCCCAACTCGGCTCTGAGGTGGCTGCCAGTGTCCCACACGGAAACCCCAAAATCTGCCTCATAAATTTGTTTTGTAGGACCTCTATTCCAGATTTGACATGAGTTCCCCATATCTTAGCCCCATAGAGCATTTGTCCAATGATTTTAGAGACAAGTATCTTAATAGCTGGATTGATTGATTAACTGTCTGCCCTTTGAATGGAAGAACGTATATCTGCCCAGTAGAATGGCCAGTATTAGCTCAATTGCTTCCAGATGGGGTTTCCATGATGACTTCTTATCAATAAGTAATCCTAGATATTTAAATCTGGGTACATTCGGCCCCCATCCTGCTAGATTTAATAATCCAGGGGGTACAAAGCTCAAGGGGGCACATGGTTACATGCAAAGTTTCAAAGTTGCCGCTTTTAAAGGTTGACATTCTGACTGGCTCTCCCCTTGCTTGCTGTCTCAATAATCAACCCTTTAAAAAAAGCATTTAAAAATATTTTATGTATGGGTTCCACTGAAGTTTTGTTTAAAGTAAAGGGTTCCACCACTGCAAAAAGTTTGAGAACCTCTGTCTTGGATCATAGCTCACTTGCTGCTGCTGACATTGATTGATTCCCATCTAACGTAAGTTCAGCTATTTTAGCCTGGGTCCATCCCATTGTAAAATGGCAAGAAGGGATTAACTACATTTTTAATGTGTTTGCTGCAGGTCTACATTAGTAAGAAAGAGGTTGCTTTTCCCAAGCAAGCTGTATTTAGTAATGGGTCCATTTTTTAAAATGCAGCTGTTTAAAGTGCAGGCTTCAGGGGTGGTCTGGTGTTCCAAATTTGGATGCAAAACACTGCAAACTCAAATCATTGAACTCTACTGCACAGCTGCTAGATTTCTGAATTTCTGTAGGAGCCACAGTCTGATTTGAAAGAGGAAAAATAGCTTTGTTTTTCTTGAGTCATCTCTCTAGCTTATTCTGAATAACTGCATGGCATCTAATTGTGCTGGTGAAGCAGATGATAAGCTTCCAGTCTGTCCTGAAGGTTTGCATGAGTGGCTTAAAAAAAGGATAGAGAAGGGTATTATAGTTAGTAGTAACAAGAGAGCCTGTGAAGCCAATCTCAAAAATTTATGGGCCCTTAGCATACTTTAAGGGCCCCCAAGGAATGTTGGTAATGAACTGCAAACTGATTGGCCCTGTGTGCCATCAATCAATCCAACAAGTTAAAAAGCTTGTAAAGAGGCTAAATGCACTTGCCACAACTGCAGTAAAGCTCACAGTTTCTGGCATAGTAGATGAAAGGCAAGGTGGTGGGTGGGAGAGAAGAGCTCATTGCATACACAAAGATGGACTTTATTGGGTGGTGGGACAGCAGATACAGTGTTATAAACTGGGATAGAAAAGCTAGGAACCAAATGGCTCCTGGGATCTGGGTTGTGGGTGCCAAAACATAATGTCTAATCGCCATTTAGTCGGCAACAGTTTTTATTTATTATTTTGATGCGCGTGAACTAATATGCAATTCACATAAGTGACTCATTGTTAATATGTGTGTTTTTAAAAAAATTGTTAATACTTTTTTAATTTGATGTTTACAATAAAAATATTGGTACCATACTTCAATTTTCAAAACACTCTACTCTTTATTGTTAAACTCCTTAACATACTGTCTGTCCTTAACATATACTTTGAAGCTTCAAAGGCATAAAAAGGTAAAGGTAAAGGGACCCCTGAACGTTAGGTCTGGTTGTGGATGACTCTGGGGTTGTGCACTCATCTCACTTTACTGGCCGAGGGAGCCAGCGTACAGCTTCTGGGTCATGTGGCCAGCATGACTAAGCCGCTTCTGGCAAACCAGAGCAGCGCATGGAAACGCCGTTTACCTCCCCGTCGGAGCGGTACCTATTTATCTACTTGCACTTTGACATGCTTTCGAACTGCTAGGTTGGCAGGAGCAGGGACTGAGCAACGGGAGCTCACCTGTCGCGGGGATTCGAACCACCGACCTTCTGATCGGCAAGCCCTAGGCTTTGTGGTTTAGACCACAGCACCACCCGCATCAAAGCACATACATTTCAGCAATTCTTGAGTGTCAGCCAGGCGCAAAAAATGGCACCCAGACCTTTTGAGGGGCTCGCAAATGGAGAATATTTAGGTGCGAAATGCGCCTGGTGCCATGCTAATTTTGAACCCTGAGCATATATGCTTCTCCCTTTGGAAGACCTTCCTTCTTTGCAAAGGACAAGAACTCAAAATTCTTGTTGTTACTCCCTAAAGAGTGGACTAGTTTGGAATATACATTGTCACATGAAAATGGTGGCTTTATTTCTTCATTTTAGCAAATGGGGAAAATCTTGGATGTTTCAAATTCTGCCCAAGTTTGGTAACACTTTCTGCTCTGAACTGTTCTCTTGACCTCTTAAAGAATTTGCAACTGTGGAAAGAGTTGCTTCCTGGCTGGGTCTGGCCAGTCAATCCCATACTTGTTTGCCAAAGGTGGAGCCAACAGAATGAGTCTGCCTTTATAGAGAAAAGTATTTTTAGATACCACAGTCTTGGTTCTGAGCAGCATTTCTCATTTCTGACAGCTACTTCGCATACTTTCAGACACCATGACGTCATATGGTCAGCGTGAGTTGAGGAAAGAACTGATTTTTTAAATTTCTAAATAAAAGATGGGGTTTGTGTTTGCTCTAAATGAGTTAAGGCAGGCTCTCAGTATTCTGTATCTGATACAGGCCATATGGCATTTCTAGTGAAACCAACAGATGTTTCTCTCACTGTGTCCTTTTCCTCGGTTGCTGCCTGATCTCTTCTTTTGTTCCCACATGTCCTGTCTGCAGAGGGCCGTCAGCAGTAACGCAGGCAGCAATTGTTGCTGTGTGTCAAGTTATTGGTGTGGATTTTATAATACAAAAATTCATGGACAAAGGAGCTGCTCACCATGTAGAAATAAAGCCTGTCTTTTCAAAGAGTTCAGTAACTGGATCCTGGCTTCTCGGTCATCATCTTTACTGAATATCCTCTCCTTTGTGTTGTGCCTGCTGCTGTTCAGAGCCAATTTAATATAAAGCTGAATTTGCTCAGTGGCTTGCATTTGTGGTGAGTGAGCCTACCCTCTATACAGCTTTTCACTGCTTTTGTTTCTCTCTGTGTGTGTGTGTGTGTGTGTGTGTGTGTGAGAGAGAGAGAGAGAGAGAGAGAGAGAGAAGAAGAATCTATGTAAGAATAAATTGTGTGGGTTTTTTCTGCCAGTCCCACTGACTGACTTGTATGTACTGAAGAGGTGCTGTTGGGTTCCTGTTCTAAGTGTAGAAGAAAAAAGCTTGGCATACAGTAGGCTGTTCTGAAGAAGTATTTGCAGATATCCATATATATGGAGCAACTTCTCCCACAACTAACACAGAGGGAATAAATCATAGAGGCTAAGAGAGCCATTGTTCTCAGAAATGGGTTTCTTGAATGGCTGTTACGTTCTTAAGCTGATTATGTACTAACTGAAATTCATACAATATTTAAACTGTTGTGAACAAAGGGAACTCTAGACATTTTTAGATGCTTGCAAATTCACATACCATGTGTTGCATTTGGACGTACCATATCAAATATTTGGTTTTAGTTTCTGTCATTTTCGCGGGGCAAAACAGTATCCTTCAATGTTGTCATCTGCCCCTATACTGTAATAGAGGCGGGCTGCAATTACCTCCCTGCATAGATTCTCACATGTAGAAAATTAACATTTCCCCCCCCCAAAAAAAGTGTGCTCAAAGCTTCCTAGAAATAAACACAACAGCAAATAGGGTAAAATAGCAATGTGGTGCTGAGCCCCAAAGACTGAGCAGATGCTGGAAACTGAGACTTATAACATTTTGGGGAACTTGTATCCTTCTCCAAAACTTTCCCCACCCACAGGTAGTTAAAACAGAGTATTAATGTTTATTTGCTCTTGGATGCCAGTTTACTGAAACATCTATAATTTGCAGCATTATATTATATTTAAATGGTTAGCTTTGTTGTGGACTTCCTTTGTTTTGATGCAACTACCAACTTCATTATTTTATTTATATGCACAGAGTTTCTGCTTCTTGGCTCACAGCGCTTTAATACACAGTGTAACTGCTGCATTTGACCAATAAGACGTCATTATGTAAAAAGCCTAGTAATTATAGTATTGGGCACAATTCTGTGGGTACAAATAAATGAATATAAGGAGTAGTCATACAGGAAGTTCAGAGAATCAACAAAGTATCTTCATTCAATAAGCGTAGAATACTACCCTTTTTGGCCTGGATGGTTCATTTGGAAAACTAAAACTGCTGTGGGCAGCACAAGATAATAAGAAAAACTGGTGATGCTGAGACCTCCAAAGAACAATAGGCAAACCACGTGCACACACCAAATCAAAAAAGCAGATACCATCAATTCCAAAGCAGGCAATCTCCCACCAGCAAAACATCCCCCCAAAGTCAAAGAACATCATTTTAAAAATTAATAAGCGAAAGGTGGGTACTCTTGGCAGGTACCATTGGCAGGTGCTATTGAGGGTGCCATGGGCCCCGCATCTGCATCATTAAGAACCCCAGCTACAGATTGTTCACATAAATTAACAGAATGATACAGTCAGATGCACAGTTTGCATCTATTGGTATCTCAAGGACCATGTAGTTGGTTTGAATCAAGGGGCGTACATGCTCATAGTCTGGACTTCAGTTTCACATCAGATCACTTGATGAGAGGGAAATCAATGGGGAGGAATTCAGTGCCATGCTCCTCTGATTAGTTTATTTCAATTATTAAAACTGATTATCCATGGCAAACAAAAGTTACTCTTTAAAATTTATACTTGTTGGTACACTGGTTCTCAGATTGTCACTTCTTTATTCCTCTTCCTTGTTCCAGGGTCCCCTTTCCTTCCCCAGAAAAGCAATTTGTAAACTCAGGATTTTTCTCTTAGACACAGAAAAATGATATTTTGGCCCCAATTCCCCTTGCTCAGCAAATTAGTGGAAGTCAACGCAAGGGCTTCCACTAGTGCCCCTGCCCCACACCACCACCAAATCCACTCTGGATGGCCAGGAAAACCCCCAGAACAATGCACAGAGGGAGGATAAGGAAGCTTATTCTTTCTGGCAAGCAGGGACAAAATAAAGGACAAAAGCTACAATTATAATAGCTCCCCCAGAAAAGGTGTCAATTGAACACACTGTCATATATTTGATTGTTTTCCGGATGCTTGGTATGTATGAAAATAGGGTATTTCTTAGCTTGCATCCTTTTGCTTGGACTGTTTTATTGGGGCCAGGAGGTTTCCTGATATTTTATAGAGAAGAACATTTGGGTGTTTGAGTTAGTGGTGCGTACTTCTCTCTCTCTCTGTGTGTTTGTTCTTTCCCATTCCTGTTAATAGCTAAACTCAGGTTTGTTTCAAGCTAGTTTTCTGCTGTGGTTTATAAGTATCTATGTGTTCATTCAGAAATCTTCCACCCACTGACATGGCAATTACATTTCCCACAGAATGTTGTCTGCAGGGGTTTCCTTTATAAAATCTGTATAATGTGATCCTTTTAAGCAGATGAAGGGCGGGGAATCCAGCATAAAATTGTTGAGTTTTCCTTTCAAATGTAGATTAGAGGTCTTGTTAAAGATGGGCTTTTACCTTTTGAACTTGGTCTCCTGCTGCTCTCCTCTTCCTCCCCTTTTATGGCCTGTGCCCCTCTTGGCTTTAGAGTGACAAAAAACCCTTGGTGCACACATGTTTGGCCAGAGCTTCATGTCTATTGAAACTGATTTGAAGCCTTACTAAAAAAGGGTGCTTCCTGGTAGGTGCTTAGATTTTGGGAAGCAGTCCGCTTTTGTAGATAAATTGTTGACAAATTCAAAATGCATTATGTTGGAGAATTAGTGCAAGCAAAGAAGTTATCCAGTAGTGAGAGTGACCAGTAATTATGTGGAATCCAGTTGCTGAGCACTTTACAAGCTTCTGACACCTTGGGTTGAGAGAGGTGAAGAATGAAAGAGAAAAAACAGGAGTATCAGCCCTTTAGGTCAAAGGCAATTAAATACAGGCAATTAAATACAGCCTATCTTGTGACTTGTTGATCAAAGGTAGGCTTCCACCCTAGCTTTTGAAATCAGCCCAGGTAGAATTTGCCTTCAAGCTGCTGCTGAGATTTATGCAGCTGGTGGCTGAATGTTTGACACTTGAGATTGTTCCCAGCAGCTTTTTCAAACCTAGACCTGCTTTGACTCTGTTCAGCAGAATTTTATTGCCTGTAGGTAGGAAGCGTGTGAGCCTTAAATTTAATTTGAATAGACCCTTTCCTTTCCCTCTCCCCCTTAAAAATACAGCCTAGGCAAACATTATCCAGCAAAGTAAAGGTGCTTTTGTAAACAATTTATCTCTGTATAATTCTGATGAGTGTGCATCTACCAGGGTTATTTACTGTCAAGAAACTGAGATACATTATTGAGTAAGAAGGAAAATTTGAGTAACAATAGCTGCTTAAGGAGACATGCTCACATGAATTTGAGAGTAGAAAGCTTCAGTATTTTCAAACAAAGGAATGTGTTGATCTCTTGCTACTTCAAAAGGCAATGATGGAATGACTGGAGTGGTCTGTGGATTAATTCACAAAGGCAGCAGCTTCAAAGTAAGTTTTCCTGGCTGCATATTAAGAGAGAACAACAATAAAAGCTTCGAATAGTGCCTGTCTTATGTGTATTGGTTTGATAGGAGATAAATATTAAAATACTTAGAACCTGAAACTCCTGGGACTAGGAAACATCTCCCCATAAACAACCCACCCTAGCTGCTTGGCTTTTGTTGCTTAGTGACCGTTAGAGGATCAGGGTAAGGGTTGGGAATTGTCCGCAGGAGGTGTAGACCTAGACATAGCATTAAAATGTCATGTGCCTAGTGCTTCATAGAACTAGGAAATAGATGTGCTTCTGTTCCATTGTTAGTGTTTTGGGTGTGTAAAGGCTTTCACCTTCCTTAAGCTATTCATCCTTGCAGCAGCCAATAGTCACACTTGTCCCCACTTAATGGTTGATGAACGCTGGCTGAGTTGAGATGTTTAAGCAGACCCTTTTACATTGGTTCTCTTTCATTTTCTCATTTCCCCTGTAACTTCTTCCAGTGGTTTTGAGGTACTGCCCTCTGTAGGAGCTCTGTGCTGGAGGATTTAAAAAAAAAAAAAAACTGTGAGAGGAGAGATAGAGCTACAGTGGTACCTCGGTTTACGAACTTAATCCGTTCCGGAAGTCCGTTCTTAAACTGAAACTGTTCTTAAACCGAAGCGCGCTTTCCCTAATGAGGCCTCCCGCCGCCGATGCCCTTCCACCATTCAGCTTCCGTTCTTAGACCAGTGTAAAGTTTGCAAACCGGGACACTACTTCCAGTTTTGCGGAGTTTGTAAACCAAATAGTTCATAAACAGGGCTGTTCTTAAACCGAGGTACCACTGTATTTCAAAGGCATTTCTTAAATTATCCACATAATTTAAAGTTAACAATTAAAACTATAAGTTCTGAAACAACTGTGTTCTCAAAAAGCTTTGAACTTAAAACCACAATAAAATAATAAAATAAAATAAACCACAAAAAAGCAGATAGAATTTTTGCAGACTAGACTTTAAACCAGTCTTTCTCCTATTGGTTTACAAAGAGATTTTTTTAAAAAGACTTTCCCCCTTGAGATTACTGGGGTTTTTTTATCCTGTTTGGGATGAGTTCTTTTTAAATTAATCCAAAGTTTGGTATTAATTTTATTAAAATATTTATTGAATGCCCTCCTGGACAAATAAGGGTTGCCAACCTTTTTAGCCCCAGGGAGACATTTGCGTTTTTGATCAAGTACCATGGACACCAACCTCTCTGGTCGCTTCCCTCCTCCACCAAGACAGAAAAAGAGTGTGTGTGCATACAAACACAAACTTTGCTTTTCCAAGGGATCTAGCTAAAAGTCAGATACAATATAATAAATATGAGCCTGGAAATGTGTGTCATTCTTCCAAATTCAGTTAACGTAAGAGTTTGAGTGCTGTGTGAAGCCTTTTCTGACATGGAAATGAATACTATAGTCTTTGGAATTATTGTTTGCATACAGTGACTAAACTGTAAATACAGTAGTACCTCAGGTTAAGTACTTAATTCATTCTTGAGGTCTGTTCTTAACCTGAAACTGTTCTTAACCTGAAGCACCACTTTAGCTAATGGGGCCTCCTGCTGCCGCCGCCAGAGCACAATTTCTGTTCTCATCCTGAAGCAAAGTTCTTAACCTGAAGCACTATTTCTGGGTTAGCGGAGTCTGTAACCTGAAGCGTATGTAACCTGAAGCGTATGTAACCCGAGGTACCACTGCATCTGTGTACAGAATTCTCACAAATGCCTAAGATCTGGGAGGTTCTTCTTGACTGGAATCTTGGAGTTTGGCTTATGTGAGCTGCTGAGATGAATAAATGAGAAGTCAGTTGGAAAAGGAGCCCTTTTGGGAGGGAACTTCAAAAGGTGGAGGCGTGCTATATTTTTTATTACAGTTGTTTATACTGCTCCCCCCCTTTCAGGATATAAATTCTGCCAATATGACTCACAAGTAACTTTTCAGTTACATATTTCACCCCGTGAACTTGGGGTGGGGTTGAGAATCAAGTACTTCAGCTCCAGCCGATAACTTGGTTTAATTGGCAAATAGTGTTGATTTGAAGGCCATGAGATCACTGGTACTGAATAGCAAAGGTGTGTGTTCTTCTTCCTCCCACTCTGATGAATAAATAGCATAGGTTTAGTTGTTCCTGTATGCAAGTGCATGTTCATTGAAGGGTTTCATAGAATCAGAGAATTGTAGAGTTGGAAGGGACCCCGAGAGTCATCTTGTCCAACCCCCTGCAGTGCAGATACGGTATTTTGAAATCCAGTTCCAGGAAATTTTTGTACTGATTTGGAATTGAATGTTTGAGAGTTATAACAGCTGTAAACTGCGTTTGAATACATTATTAACCCCCTGAAGCTACTTGCCAGAGGACAGGTTTTTGTTTATTCATTTGGCTTCCGTTCTGAATATAGAAGGTGACATACACCATTGGCTTGAATCTAATAGTCCACAGGTAGGAATGATGTCACTTCCCTGCATTTAAATAGCTGCACTCTTTTGTAATTCAGAGGTCTGACATTTCTGCTCAGCAGCTTGTTTTTCTCGCTGGCTTCCACTTATACGGCAGTTCCTTTGAGGTAGTGTATATATTCTGAGTATTTTTCTCCCTTGGGGGTTTGGTTTCTGTCTCCTTCCAGGTGGCTAATGAAGGATTTTGATTTATTTATCGTAGCTGTCTAGTCTGACTGTCATTTCTGTGTGAGTGGTTCCTTTTAAAGACCGATGCCTCTGTCTAGTAAAACTGGTTTACCTGAGGTCTCTTGAGTGATATCTTCAGATGAGGCAGTTTGCCAGGCGGCTTGTATCTTTAAAACAAAAACAAGTCACCCTCGTAACATATATCATCTTCCTTAACAACAGTCAAGAAAAGTGTCCCTTTTCTATAGACTCCAGGCATCTTTATATTTCCTGGATTTTTTCAAAAGGCTTCTTGAATTTTGTTTCATACACACACACACACACACATGCCCATATGGAAGTCAATTTAGTCAGGAGTGTATTTATTTGGAGATGTCTAATATTCTTTTTCCATTTTAGAAGTTTAGCTGACCTTCTCTCTCTCTCTCTCCTCCCCCTTTTTGTAGGTAGAATTGACCTCTGCCAAGAAAATATTAAACGTTGGAGGGGGGAAATAATCAAAAGCAGTTGGCGTCTAAAAGATGTGCCATGGAATGGTATCAACAACGAGCACCACCACATCGCTGCTTACCTTGATCAGTCATGGGATATTTTTTCCATTGGCTCTCTTCAGTACACTCACGGTGGAAGGACTGGACTCATGTAAGTAAAGCTCTCCCTACTTAACTTTTGTTAGGTTTCTAGCTCTCTCTGCGATGGCTCAAAGCAAGTAACAATAAATGCATTAAAAAATGGCCTCTTGTCACTTAAAAATTCAGAAACAGAACAGAGAACAAAAATGGCTTAAGGCAGCTTCCTTATCCTTTAAGGATCTTGGTAGGAGCTAGGTAGGGGGTTAGATTGCCTCCAGTGCATGCTTGTGAATGAAGTGGAGATTCTAATCACGCCACATGAAGTATGGAACTGATACACAGAGAACTATTTTGACTGGTTAGTGCAGATACAATCTTGTGAGAGTTGCATTAGTTACGTCCTGTTGTCTAAATGACAGGTTACTCTATATAGTAAAAGGCAGCTTGTGGTTTTCTCCATTGTATGTTTTAGTTTAACCATGAGTTAAAACCTAGAACTGACTTGTGTAGATAGAACCAGTGGACTGCAGTTATGTGGTGCAGTGGTTAGAGTGTCAGACTAGGACCTGGGGGACCCCACGCAGCATAAACAAAGCTCACTGGGTGACCTTAGGCCAGTCACTGCCTCTCAGGCTAACCTACCCCACAGGGTTGTTGTGGGGATTAATTGAGGACAGGGGAGAATCATGTAGACCACCTTGAGTCCTTGGAGAAAAACGGTGGGGAATAAAAATAATAAATAATAATTGTGGAGAGGTAACACCTGCCCTCCCCTGCCTTGGATAGCACTGTGCACTGAAACCCCTCTTTGAAGGAGCAAAGCAAATTTTATTATAGGAAATACATGTTAGACAGGAAATATTCTATTTCTCGCCATGTCTCTGGGGGACAATTTCTTATATGAATTGCTAACATTCAGTAAAGGTAATCACTGTTGTTGAGGACACTGGCTTGGTCTTTATTTTGAGTTTACACCCCTTTATTCTAGCTCCCATTGAGAAGGGAACCCTGATAGGGCAAGTGCATCTATGCAATATACAGTACTTGTAATAAAAACTTAGCAAAATATTAAGTATGGTTCTGGAGGGCAGAAGAGAGGTTGGAACAGAGACTCACTAGCTGCTGTCCAGGTGTGGCAGAATGGGCAATATTAGTCTCTCCCCCTCTCCCCGGTGTGGATGGTCAGGTAGATTATGGCTGAATTATAAGTTTTAGAAGACATTTGAAGGCAGCCCTGTTTAGGGAAGCTTTTAATGTTTAATAGACTATTGTGTTTTAATATTTTTTGGAAGCCGCCCAGAGTGGCTGGGGAAGCCCAGCCAGATGGGTGGGGTATGATAGATAAATAGATAGATAGATAGATAGATAGATAGATTATAAAAACTAGAGAATGGGGAAGGCCTGTTTTTAAAATGCATGCATCCTTATTTTTGAATTCTCCATAGCTTCTTTGGCCATAAGCCTATGGGATGCTTGATTGTAATGTCTCATTCCTGAAACTCTCAATTATTTTCTGAAATATCTGTTTATTTTCAATACTTGTAATGGCAACTCATCTGACTATAGATATGGAATTTAAGATACTTTTTAGAGCTCTTCAGTGTAGTTTTCCAATTGTGTCTGAGAAAGTTGCCTGAAGCAGCTGTAGCTTGCATTGGTTCAAAGGTTTGTGCCTTGTGTTAGAAATGGGCTGCTTGTCTCCTACAGTACATCACATTCTTTCCTTTCTTTGGAGTTTGAAATGGGTAAAGAGATTGTATCATACAAGCAGGTGGCTGGACCACAGCATTTAAAAGTATTTGTGGGGAAGAAAGGTTTTAGTTTAGGAGTATTCCTTGACACACTAGAGCAGGCATAGGCAAACTTGGCCCTTCAGATGTTTTGGGACTACAACTCCCACCATCCCTGACCACTGGTCCTGTTAGCTAGGGATGATGGGAGTTGTAGTCCCAAAACATCTGGAGGGCCAAGTTTGCCTACACCTGCACTAGAGCCTTCTCCTTAAGAATGTGACTGTTTCCAGATACAGCTATTTTGTGTTAGTTGCAAGTTAATTGATAGCTTCAGGGAGAGGTGGAAGACTGTAGACATGCAACAAAGTTCACCGGCAGCAGAGTTAGGTCTTTTGTGTACTGTAACCTAAAGTCCGCTAAGGATTTGATATATTGATAAGGACCCAGTTCTGCTTTCAGTAGGCATACCTACCTATTTTTGAGCAGTTTAGTCCTCTGCTTGCTTTCTGGGATTCCTTGCTATTTAGACATTTATACAAAAGAATGCAAAGGTCATAACATGAGTGCACTTGGTATTGGAAAAGGCAAAGTTCCTTAATTGCCTTCATTCCTAAAATTTGATGCTGATGCAAAGGGATGGGGAAATGCTAAAAGTTTGACAGCAGATGTCCCCCAGATGAAGCTGACACACATCAATTTAAATTATTTCTACCCCACACTGAGTATCCTCCTCTGTGAGGGCTAAAGTCTCATAAAGCAGGCATGAATATTGTAAAAGAAGAATTTCCTCTAATTTTACCATCCATGTAAAGCAGATGTAGCTCCTGAAGAGAGGGGGAAACTACATAATATGTGAGGAAATAGAAATCTGTGTACTGGTTAGTTGCCTATAGCACTAAATTAATTTTGAGATAGCCAAGTGAAGGTGTACAGTGATACTGACAGATTTTTATAAGAAATGAAGTAAGTATAATGGAACAGAATCTGAAGCATATGGAATATATATCTTGAATGACAATATTAACTTTAATTGTATGTAACGGTCCTAAATGATGTGCAGCTAGATTCAAAGCTTAGGATTTCAGATATTGCCAAAAGATCCCCATGGCCCATTTCTTGGCAGCAGTATCCAGCAAAAAATAAAGGTGACATGAGAAATTTTAATTTAATCTGCTTCTGGGTAACTCTACCACTTACTAGAATTTCACAACTTATCAAGACCACTGTTGTGATAAGGGAAACTGATTTGTTTGAATATGATTTGGAAGATGACTAATAGTTCTTACTTTCTTAGTAGAACGTTTAAGTGACTATGTGTCCTTTAAATGGGTAAGAGAAAGGTAGAGGTCCTTGTTCAGGAGAGCCAGACAAAGGTGTAAACAGACCTTGGAAGTGTAACTGAGCACTTCATGTGAGCACTTCTAACGTTGCACATTTTAGGGATAGTCACCACACCAAACCACTTTATAAATCACAACTTTTGACAAGACTCGGTTGTAGGTAAGATTTTCTGTATGCAAAAGGTCCTGGGTTCAGTCTTTAGTAATCTCCAGTTTAAAAGGATCAGGTAGTAGTTTGTGTGAAAGCCCTCTGTCAGGGTCTAGGATAGCTGCTGCCAGGCAAACTAGACAATACTTTGCTATATGCGCAAGCAGCCTGACCTGGCATAAGGCAGCTTACTAATAATTTTAGGCCCTCGCTCTGACCCAGGAGATCTTCGCATGCATGAGTTCTGGTGCAGTTTCCAGCTCAGTTGTAAGGATTTCACTATCAACTGCTGTCGGGAGCAGCCCTGTTGCACATCTTTGGTGCAGGCATGGAGGTGCCACTAGATGAGGGTGGTTGTTGTGCTCTAGCAGCTTTGAGTGCTCATCATGGTGTGGAAGGGGCCCTGCATTGAGCTGACATCCATTCAGCAGAGAGCACACTGGTTTAAACTGCTGATGCTATCAAACCTTATTCCTGCTGTCGGGAGCAGCCCTGCTGTAGCAAGCAAATCACTGACTTTGTGCTTGTAATAGTATATTCATTCAGAATGCTGATCTGTTCTCGTAACAGCAAGCTTTGACATGTTCCAGTGTCTGCTGTTTAATTAATACAGGGTTGTTCAGAGAAAGGGCTGTGGGGGAAAGCTTTGGTAAGAACTTGAGGTATTTCTTCTCCAACTCTTACTTCCCAAGTTTCTTGTTGGAAGCATTTTCCATTGTGTATGACCACTTTCTTTTCCATTGTTCTAGTGGGGTATTTCATGACACCACATTTAGGTTTATGTAGGACTACTTTCTAGAAAAAGAGGTGTCGGAACTTGTTAACCTTTTTTGAGAGGGAGCACCCAAATTTCAACTTTCACCACCCACCTCTGCCACCGCAATCGCTCTGCCACCTCCCGCCTCTGCAGCGCAACAAAGAGATGCCGGAACTCAGTTCCCGTGAGTTCTGGCTGGGGGAAAAAACTTTTCCTTGAAGGCTTGTTCATTCATTCATGCTACAATGTATAGTACCCAGTAATTTTAAAACATGGGCAATTTTTGAGTTACTCAAAATGCAAGCCATTGGATTTCCTTATGTTTCTGCATTAAAAAATGGATGCACATTTACATGCAAAAGAATTTCTAAACACTTAAATGGTTCAAAAGATCCCATGTCCCACAGATGAAACAGAATTGGAATGTAATCCTTCAGATTTTGTGTTTCTCCAAAACCTAGGATATAGTCCTCTGCTCAGAAAAAGTACCAAAATAAAATTTAAACACATGTTTTAAAAAGAAATGCATTTAGAAATGCACATATTTTGATAAAATAAATACTTAAAAATGAATTTTCATTCAGATATTTTTCACAGATTAATACCAGAAACAGGATGGGGCAGAATTATTTAATTTGCCAGATTTCTATACTGCTCAATCAAAAATAATAATAAAAAATAAACTCCAAGTGGTTTGCATAAAAATGAACTATTTTACAAACATATGATATTGATACAGACTGGAAATGGACTGATCTGTCCATCCCTACCGAGCAGCTTATATGATCCCAATATGTGAATATGACCTTGCATTTGCATTTCTGTCTGTTAGTTCATCCAGCTGAGGATTTGTGGATGCTTCCTTGGTTTGGAATTGCAGATGGCTGAATGTTCTGCTTGGTAAATTCGTCTCTTACATTTTGGGAAAGAAAAAGCACAGTGTCTCAGCTGTCTTTTGGGAGACTGCATTGGACATTTATGATGCTTTGTGTTTGAAGTCAATATTTTGTCAAGTTGTGACGATCTTTTATTGACTTGAGCAAATAAAATTCATTCTTGCATATGGATCGTAGGAAGAAACAGCACTTTCCCAGATATGTCTGTGTGATATACATAATGAATACTTATAGATAGAGGAAATTTGGCTAATTTGGTTTTTCTGCACATTTTAGACAGTTGATTCTTTATAAAATGGGATGACTTTTGTAGTGTCTTGAATTACCCACACAAAACATGCATTTTATAAAGATGTTCAGAACCAGCAAAGCTTGAAATACCCCCAAAACTCCCAACCCTATCTCATAAACTTTAGCCATAAAAAATATTATATCGGCCAGAGCTATGAAAGGTGCCTATGCATTGACAATGAGAATGTACACACTTGTACAGGACTGCAGACATACGCTTTAGTCAGTAGATAGGAGTTCTGAGGCACATTTAGACAAAGGGAAACTAGCTTACTGATTGCAGGAGGAAAGCTTGTTGGTTGTTGCCATCCATCTGTCTCAGGAGACAATGGAGGAGTGCACCTTTAGGGATGAAGTCAAACCATTGGGAGAGTTACAGGGCCTGCCTGCCATAGCTATAGAGACCAATATGGGAGAGGCATGTTTTTTGCAGCTGGGGCAGATGAAGGCATCTGGTTGTGCTGCTGCAGATGCACTATGGCATTTCTTCTCTCTGCACTCATCCCAGTGGTCATTACTTCTCTAGTCACTGCTGTAGATACCCAACCTGTCTCCAGGCACTATGGTTTTCTGTAAGTGATCCCCACACAGCAGGGTTGATGTTCTCAGTCTTCATGTCTTGTTTGCAGACAAGTACACACAGTTTTCAGTTGAGCTGAAGGTATAGGAAAGCACAAGGGAGAAGAATATGCCAAAGAGAGTTGGGGTGAGCACACAGCGCTGTTTCACACTGCTTTTAATAGGGAAGTTGTCTGAGCATGAGCCATCACACTGGGTGGTGCTGAGCATGTTCTTGTGGAATTGCATAGTAATCTTGTGGAGCTTAGGTGGGCATCCTGTCTTGTTGATCACTATATAGTCCTTTTTGGCAAAATACTAATACTAATTCTATTACTAATACTAATATTACTACTACTACTAATAATAATAAATGGCTTACCTCCAGGCAAAAGTGAATGGATTTTAGGCGTGGGCACAGCAAAGAAGAGACAAAACTTGGAGCAGCTCAAGAGCAATGTTGACATCATTAGTGTGGGATGGCATGGCATAGAATGGTGTATTGTCATTCCTTCCAGGAGCTGAGAACAGTATTAGCTTTACAACAGCCCTGAGGAATGATGCGCGTGGGCTAGGCTGAGCAATTGGCATGCTCCAGGCAAGGGTGATCTTTGCAGGCAAGTGGGAATTTGAACTTGAAATTCCCACATCCATACATTCCTGCCAGTTGGCCACCTGGCTGGTAAACACTTCACATGGCAAGTCTCTCTCTGGTTCATAACCATGCCTCCCTTGGAATGCTTGGAATACAAATTCTTTGTACGTTGGGGAATTATGGCCACACACACTGGCATGGGTCCATTGTGTGCCTGCAGATCCGTATTTCCTTCTTGAAATATTACTGTACTCATCAGTGGGCCTAGTATGATGAAGCTTGTCTGTCATTTAAGGTTAGAATTGTCCCATTCTGGCATACACGTTATATATGAAGCTGAACAAGATGGTAATTCTTAACACACTTTCACACAAATGCACTATTGAAATAATCCCAACAGGTTGGTTACCATGTACTTCTAGCAGTTTCTATTTAACACTTTACTTGAATGTTTTTTTATTCCCTCTTTACCTCCCCCCCCCTTGCTGTGGCAGTTTGTGCAAGGTGATAAAATGGTTTCTTTATATGAATCTTCAGCTTACTGCTTCTGCTTTTGGCAAGATGTCTTAAAAACAATCATCTCTAAATCCAGCCAGGGAACAAGCAGTGGAATGGAAACAACTTTTGAACACTGGAATATTCATTCACTGGATACAGTAGCTTGATCAGCAGTGTACGCCGCCAGTTAATGTGTTTTTTCACCTGTTTAAATGTTAGCCTAGTTTCCACTTGACTGAAGGCTCAGCTTGAAGCTCTGTGTGTGGTCTGCTTAGAGACTCATTGAAATCCCTACAAATTGGAGGTGGGAAAACAGCAACATATGAAGAGTTCTTGCTTCATGTCAATGTAAATATTATCTTCCGGTAGTCCTGGGTTGGTTGGTGACAGTTCTGCCTATTGCAGGTTTTTGGGTGGTCAGCTAAAATTCTAACTTGCCTTGTATGTAAATAATTCCGTTCATTTGAAAATGTGGTTCCTGTTTATGTTTGGTCAGGGAAAAGGTTACAACCTGAAGCATGTCTTCTCTGAAATTTCTCTAATGTAAGAATTCATGGCTTTGGGATATGCAAAAAATAATAATCATATTCTTCTGTCCTACATTTTGAAGGAAGGAAAATGGCAATGAGTACTTTCATGATGTTGCACACGCAACTGCATCCTAAGCTCCATCTTGATTTGAGAGTAGACTTTTGAAGAACAATTCGTGATGTAGTGGTTTGAGCGAAATTCTCATTTCAAATGTTGCCTCCACTGAATGTAAGGTAGCTTTAGGCAAGTTGTAAGCATGGCTGAGAATGAAGCTTCACACTGCAGACGGTTGGCACACTTATTCCTCATTTCACTGTTCCCCATTACTTGTTACCAAAACTTTATTTATCTGGACCACAGCTGTCAAATATTCCACAGAGGAGGGGAATAGCTATTGAGAGTGGGAGTTTAGGTAGCTTACAATAGACCCTGATTAAACCATCTGTAAAAGGGCACAGCCAGAACGGCTTGTCAGCCAGGCTCTGCCACTTGTCTTCTGGTGCTGTGCTTGTAATAATATTAGCATTTCAAAAGGGGAATTACCATAACCCCCAGGTTCTAAGAGGTAGATGGTTTGCCTCCTAATTGAAAAGCTGCTTTGTAGCTATTCTACTCCTGATTGACATGCATAGCAGATAATAAAAGTGAGACTTGGAGAGGCTTTAAAAGTGAAGGTTGTCACAAACCTTAACATTTCAAGGGTCTACAAATGGCACTACTTCTATCCTTTTTAACGGGTCTGAGGGATTTTAACAGTAGTTCATGTAACTACAGGAATGATCTGCTATAGAGGATCATTGGAGAGACTGAGAAAAACTAATCATAATCACAGTGTTCTAAAGAATATTAAGTGTGCTCTTCCTTTGCCTTTATTTTCTATTATTTGGATTATATTTATAATACACTGAAATAATGGATGTTTTCTATATATTGAAAAAAAATTCTAAAAACTTCACAACGAAGTCTTTTGCTTTCATGACAATACTTGGTACTGTTAAGAGCACCATTAAATAGAAGAAGAGTTTCCAATAACTATTTTAAAGGAGATTCAGGTAGAGCATAAGGTCACAACTTTCGAGGAGTTGGAGATGGTGTTTATAAGTGGTCCATGTTTCACAAGCGTACAGTAAGGTTGTAGTACAATACACCATGATGATCTCATGCCCAGAAACCTATGTCCCCACTGTGGAAGGACGTGTGGATCCAGAATGGGCCTCCACAGTCACATACGGACTCACTGTTAAGACAGTGTTCATGGAAGACACTTGGCTACGAGTGATCACCGAAGACGAAGAAGAAGAAGGTCACAACTATTAAAATAGACCTGTTCTTAAGAATTGGGCTTTCATTAAGAGTAACAAACTCTTCTCCCTTAGATTGGCTTGCATTTATCTTGCTTTCAGACAAATTCCAGATGTACATGGATGTTAAGATTTATTTGCATATTCCATGTTATCACTTGCTCAAATTGATGGATTCTAAGGATGCTATAATAAACTCGCTTATAAAAATTATAAAATGATCCAGTAATAAAATGTTCCCAAATAATAAACACAAAATAAGCCAAATGTTAAATGTAGTTTAATACAATAAAATACTCCTAGCATTAATTTTTAAATTACTCCTAATTAAAGATTCCTAATCTGTAAAAAAGGGCTCGGACCATTCTAGCATTGCATAGTGTTGGGATACCACCAAGAAGTCCCTTCTGTGTATTTAAGGAAGCCACTGCTACCTCATTTCAAAAGAGCAATTATAAATAATAAATTCTCTATTTTAGTAGTCTGGATTCATATGGAGAAATGGGAATTTCCTGTGCTCACAGGTTTTATGAGGAGAAGAAGGAACCCCAGTCTCTAGCTATGTTTAGTTTGGACTGACTTAAACCACCTTTCCAAAATATCTGAGCTACAGTACACAGCAGACCATAGCATTATTTCCAACACTTATAAAGAAACTTCCCCAGAGTCATACCAGTGAATCTGAGTCACTCTGTTGTGCTCTGGTTTTTTTCAAATGGGTTGGTTTAATTGTGTATATCCTGTGCTCTGATACATGGGGGGTCAGAAAAGTAGGTTCTGAGAGGTGTGCAATTTGTAAGGCCTTTGCTAATGTACATATGTTGTACACATGCATGGACAAAGAATGGTAGAGCTTCTATTTCCTGTGATCTCCATGATTCATGTAGGTTTGACTAAACTTTCATGTGGCATTGATTTTTAGGAGCCTAAAATAACTAGCACAGAGAACCACACATAGTCAAATGCACTTTTTATTTTAAAACAATTTTCTATAGCTCTTGTGGATGTAGAGGGAGGATGAAATATGAACTGCATCTGTTTAATAAACCAAAGAGATTCAAACATGGTCAAATGAACTCTGAAAACCTAATGCTCAAGAATTTTTTCCATTGGAGAAGATGGATTTCTATGGATGTTTATGGCTAGTTAGAGCAAATCAGGATCAATAAAACCATGGCTTCGGATCTTGGCTTTTGTTCTCAAATGGTAGTTTTAAACAATTTACAGTTCAGTGTGTGCAAGGTGTGCAAGGGTGTGTGCAGTGTGTGCAAGGTGATCTACCAGGTTGTGTACACTGTTATATTGCAAGATGCAGCAGTTTTGGCATGTTTCATCATGTAATGGAATAGGTTAAGCTCTGGAGTTCATAGGACTGGTCTTGGGACATGAACCTAGAAAGAAACGCAGAAAACCTCTGTGTTTCTATTGTGCCAACAGTCTATGGGATCCCTTAATGAATAAATATGATCTAAAATTGCTCCTGTGGAATCCTGAGAATCTGAGGTATGATTTAAGTTAGAAAAGCACCCAGTTCTTATGCCTGCAAAGAGCAGCATAAAATAAAGTGTGAAGAAGTTCACTGAATCTTAAATAAGAATGCTCTAAGTCAGATATCTATTGATTGGGGAAACTATGATTTAATTTGATGGATCTGAGAGTTCAACAGTGCTTTGCATCATAAGGAATCCATTCAAAGCTCTGTCAAGACTAAAACTTCAGTATAACCATTACTCATAAATGTCAGAAGTTACACAATGGTTGTATAAACCTTCCATTTCTACAGTGTCTCAGCATCCATCTGGTTTCTTAAAGTTCGTTTCTTGTGTCATCTTGAGAAATGGAACACAATATGCTTTGTCTTTTTGTTCAGTGGCTTAGCTCACTTTGGGGACAGGTTTCAGGGGGAAATCACAGATTTTGAGGAAGATTTTCTGATGTTAGTGTTGCATAAATTGGTAATATACAGTGGTACCTCAGGTTAAGAACTTAATTCGTTCTGGAGGTCCGTTCTTAACCTGAAGCTGTTCTTAACCTGAAGCACCACTTTAGCTAATGCCACCGCCACACAATTTCTGTTCTCATCCTGAAGCAAAGTTCTTAACCTGAGATACTATTTCTGGGTTAGCGGAGTCTGTAACCTGAAGCATATGTAACCTGAAGCGTCTGTAACCCAAGGTACCACTGTACCTTAAAATGATTTCAAAGTGGAAGGCGGGCGTGGGGGTTCTGTGCAGTCTGTTATTGGGAATGTACCTGCATCCAGCCATAGAGCATTTGGGAAATTTTTGAAACCCCCATCCCCAGGTTGAGTTGGCGTCGAACACATGGGGCAAGAAGGTTGAACCAGTGCTATTTTGTTCAGTTTATTTCTGACTGGCATCTAGCAGAACCAGAAAGTGGCCTCTCTTTAAGAACTCTCTGAGGGGTTTTCCCCCTGAGAACTTTCTTCTTTGCACTTTCACTCTATTTTGGTGAGTAGAGCACTTTCCGAGAATTGTTACACTGTACTGTTGCAGCAAAACCCCTGAATATGACTGTCATAAACTTGGCCTCATTTGTCTTCGTGAAGGTTGTTGAGACCTGCAAACGTTGCCCAAGGCTTACAGAGAAAGCTAGGGAACCACAGGTGCAACAGTTCCCATCCATTAATGTGCAAATGTGCTTTGAAAGCTATTTGACATAATATTTCAGGGTGTGCACCCTTTATTCGCCTCTCTGTCTGAGGGATCCCATGTCTATTGGGGCTCCACCTGTGACTCATCACTTCATTCTGTTCTTTCAGCTGTCTCCATGGAGAAATTCCATATCTCCTCCAGCTTCTCCACTGAGCTTATTCTCCTTCTGCTACCTCATCAACTTATTAGATCACAACTTCATTGTAATCATCAGCATTTAAATCTCTCACTTCTGAGTCTTCAGTTTCAGAGATTGTGATATCCACTCCAACTTTCTTCAAGACCCCTTCAGTAGCTCGAGTCTTTGTTTGCCTTATTAAAGGTAAAGTAAAGGGACCCCTGACCATTAGGTCCAGTCGTGACCGACTCTGGGGTTCCAGCGCTCATCTCGCTTTATTGGCTGAGGGAGCCGGCATACAACTTCCGGGTCATGTGGCCAGCATGACTAAGCCGCTTCTGGCGAACCAGAGCAGCGCATGGAAATGCCGTTTACCTTCCCGCCGGAGCGGTACCTATTTATCTATTTACACTTTGACGTGCTTTCAAACTGCTAGGTTGGCAGGAGCAGGGACTGAGCAATGGGAGCTCACCCCATCGCGGGGATTCGAACTGCCAACCTTCTGATCAGCAAGCCCTAGGCTCTGTGGTGTAACCCACAGCGCCACCCGCGTCCCTTTGCCTTATTAAGAGAACCATTAAAACATTTGGCTACCTATCGCTTCTGGTTAGAGTTCTATTTTAGTGATGCTTATCTTGCCTTGTGGGTGATTGAAATTGAAGCCTTCATACTATCTGTTAGTGACTTTTCAGCTTGTGTTTGACTTGGAACACTGAAGCTTTTAGGTGTCCTAGTAGTGGACACAAATGTATTAATTGTGACAGAAGTACTTGGAGAGCCAGCAGACACTTAGTATACAGACTGCATACAATGTTGGTTTTGTTGTTGGTTTTGTTCTGTTGAAGTAAAGCAGATTAATGATAAATGGCCTTTGTTTGCTTGCTTCTGGAATGCTGTAATGAATTATGCTAACCCTGGGAATGGATTGTCTTTTTCTATGCAATTTCCCCCTGTTACATTTGTTGCTGTTTTTGTTAAAAATATATTACAAATTAGAATATAGATTTGACAAGTTTAGTGTCACAAAAATAAAGTACACCTTTTCCCCAGTGAAATGTCTTGAAAACTATGGAATATGTGTGTTTTTGAAGGTCTGTCAACATAAGCAAACACACTCTAAATCCAGTTCATAAGTAATACTTTTGCTGGTGTGTAATATTTTTAAAGCCCAATTTTATATTAACACAGAAACCAAATTAAGGCAGCTTATGGGATACAAATAGTTACTACGTTCCATAATCATCGGCTAAGATTTGATACACCATTATTTGACTCTTTAAATTTCTCAAAGCGTTCTTAGGAACGTGGCCTACTGATGAGATGGTTTTAACTGCAAAGTTAGAGCACGCTACAGGACATAGGGCAGGATTAACCAAATGAGTCCCATCAGCGTGAACCCTCAAAATTGGCTTGGGGAGGTGTCCAGAGAACCCCCAGAACAGTGTGCAGAGGGGGGATCATTCCATCTGGGAAGCGCAAATGCTTTTGCGAATGGAGCATTTGTCATGGCACGGCATTAAAGTCCACCTAATATTTTTAATAGAAAGCTGTACTCTGGCAGGTTTCCTCCCTGGTTTGCTAATCATGGTAGAGGGTTAATGAGGATGCAGTATTTCTAGTGTTGCCGCATGTTAATTAAGAATTCAACTCTGCTGCTTGTGAATCACCAGCTGGTGACTGCATTGGTATAAGACTGTAATTAGTCTTTATTTCTCTTTTGGGGATCTTTTATTAAAAAGCTTTGGGGAAGTCTGAAATGACTGGGCATATTTTACACTGTATAAGTGTTTGTGTCTAATTACATAAATGCACAGCTATGATTACACAGACAAATCCCTTCTTTTGAGCGTGCTCTCATTTATCAACATTAGCTTACAAAAGTAGACTCTTCTTCAAAATACAGGCTTGACAGGGAAACAGTAATTTCCCAATAATGATTTGATATGAAGAAACCAGGAGCAACAAACGTTGAAGTTTTTTCTGCTGTGAATTCAGTAAAGTTCATAGTGAAATAAACGATTGGGTGGGAGTAAGAAGTACACTAAAATGTTCATTTTAAAAATCTTGTACTGTGTTCCTATTGCATTATACATTACATCTTACGTGGTATAGAGACAGGTTTTTTAACAGCCATCAACATAGTCTGAGCTTGATGTCAGCTGCAACCCCCAACTATTGTGGCAGATTTTGAGAGAAGCTCCTTCTGGAACTTGCCCTTCTCTTGACATAACCATCTGCTCTCATGCTGAAGATGCCTGATCTTCAACACTACAAAGACAAAATATGAAGATGTCTAGTCAGTAAAAGTCCATATTGTTCAAGGTCTGGGCTGTTGAACTTGCATTCCTGTGCTGAACTTCAGCTTCAGCTAACATTTTACATATTGTGGGAAATGAAATGAGAGCTCACTAATTTATAACAGATGCTTTTGAACACGGCGTGGCATCATCTATTTTCTACACCCCAGTACCAAGTTACCTTGATGAGCACATTTACAAGGGAAATAATGAGAAAAGCCGAGACAGAAGACCAGTGCATGTATCTTTTATTTATTTGAGGCTGTTGTTTCTGCACTTCTGGAAGAGTGAAAGATCTGACACTCATAAAGTAATCTATTCATGAATAATTATTGCATGTTTTTATAGACCTAGTCCCGCCCCCCCCGCCCCCGCTCCCAAAAGTAATCAGTAGTGCAATTGTACCATTGTGTGAATGGATTATCCACAGTCAGAGTCATCAGTGCTTCTGAATACCAGTTGCTGGAAGCCACAGGAAGAGACAGTGCTCTTGTTTGGCTCCTGCTTGCCAGTTTCCCACAGGTATCTGGTCGACCACTGAGAACAGGAAGCTGGACTAGATGGGCCATTGGCCTGATCCAGCAGGCTTTTTTGTTCTTATCCCAGTGCTTTTCTAAGTTAAATTGTTTTTCCAAGTCCTTAAACTGAAAAGTTGTAATTGGAACAAATGATTTGATTTGATTTATTATATCTCTATGCCGCTTTTCATTCAAATGAATCCCAAAACCGTTTGCAAACAATAAATAAAAATAACATGATGGAACATAATAGAACCTCACAAATAGTGCATAATTTGTTGTTGTTGGCATCCATCGTTGTCTCGGGAGACAATGGAGGAGTGCACTTTTGGGGCTGAAGTCAAAAGAACATAATGGAACATCACAAATGCATCATACATAATATTGGATAATTAACAAATAATCAGTAAAACAGTTACAATTTGTAAAACACTGTTAACAAAACAACTAAAAAAAAGCTAAAAATCACCATTAAAGCAAAAGGCATATTATATGATTAGCAAAACAATACAACATTTATCATACATAAAACAAAATAAACAACATCAGTTCATACATACTCTCTCCACACGCTCATGACTCATATTCTTTCACTCTATACAGCTCATTAAAATACACAGTCTTACAATGCCTGTGGCAGCAACTCACTTGGGCTGAAGGTGGGGCAGAACAGGTGAGACCAACCACCCTCTGATGGCAAACAGGTCTCTCTCCCTCGCCCCTCCCCTTCTCCTCACAGTTCTTCTTCTGGAAACAGTTCCCTTATGAAGGCTTCTACGGCTGGGGTGGGAGGGGGGGCGGGTGAGGCAAGGCAGGTGGAAAAAGCCATTACCTGCTGGCCAACACAGAGTCTTTCTCCCCTCACATTGGAATTAAAATAGGTTGAGATTATGGCTGTGATGATCAGAAGCAACTGAAGGACCTTTAGGGATGCTGCCTGGCTTTTCAGCTGCCAATCTAGAAGCAACAGAATATGGTGCCTGTGGCAGTGGCAGAGTGCTAGTGGGGGAGTTGAGGTGCTCAGTCAGCATCCATTGCATATGTTCCTCTCATCTGCCATGAGCAAAAAACGGACCCTGATTATTATGCAGCATTTTTCATTAACAGTTGAAATTCAGAAAATATTTGTGCTATATGTCTCAGTAGCACTTATAAGAATTAAGCTGGTAGAGGGAGGGCATCCGGTTTATTTCCTGTTGTTTCCTGCTTCTTTTCTTGCTCTCTCCCCTTGTTCAGTTTGTTATCATAACTGCTCTTTCCTCTTCCTTTTCAGTCTGTCCACAGCCACCCGAGCCTGAGAATGGAGGCTACATATGCCACCCGTCCCCCTGCAAAGAGCCATTGACATCTGACAGTGTCATAGAGTATTTATGTGAGGAAGGCTATCTGCTGAAGGGAGACTACAAATATTTGACTTGCAAGAATGGAAAGTGGAACCCAGACATGGAAGTTACCTGTAGGCTCAGCCAAGGTCAGTAATGCTCCACTGTAAATATACTCACTCCCATTTTGTGGAATGCCTTTCAAGTACTAGCACATAAATCAGCACCTGTCTAGACCTCAGAAAATGCATTGGGTTAACCTTATTATCTAAGGTCACATTGCCACTGCAAACTTGTAATCATGTCTTTCTTGAAGTGTAAGTTGCTGTGTGAGAGACAATTCTGCCAAAAATCTCTAGCCCATTCCTACCCAAATTCACGACATTCTCACACACCAGTTTTGGTTGGTAAAAAGGTTTCATGCATAACTCTGAATGATTCCCCTTGATCTTCTTTTAAAATAGCAAGCTTATGGTTTAAGAGCAGCCCTGTAGAGGTTGTTTGATTTCAGATCCCATCAGCTTCAGTGGACCTGGTCAAGTTGAGGGAGAGGGGTCTAATTTGGATACTGCTTGATTGTACCCTGCTGCAGCACAGAATGTTCTCTCTGCCTAGTCCTGCCTGTCTCAAAAATAAAAGAACTTTCCCAAAGTAACTTGACAGTTGTGTCTTGCAAGGTTTTTACCAGTTGGATAGGAATTCCTTTCCCATGACAGAAAGCCAAGAAGTCGGCAGGAAAATGTTTGTCATTTAATTGACCATGAGGTATTGGAGCAGAGAGAGAGAGAGAGAGGAGAGTGTGTAATTGAATAAAATGTTGTGGAAAGGAGAAATTCCCTGCAAGCTGGATGATGTGCTGAAAATCATGCATGTTTTTAAAGATTGTTGGGGTGAGTGGAGGAAGGATTGGTGCTTTCTGCACAACAGGAAGACAGGCTATTAAACAGATAAGATGCAGCAGTCTCACAGTTCACCAATATGCTCGATGAGATGTTGACTTAGTCATCCAGACATAAATAAGGAGAAAATTTCAACTCCTTGTTCCCTTGATATAAAATGCAATTCAGATGAGAGGTAGGGGTAGGTGGGTGCTAGCTAGTAGGGTTAGCTTGCATTCATGTAACCAAATAGCCTTAACACTTGAAAGGGGCATTGGCTTTCAAATGGTTAAGGTAGCTTGGGAATTGTGTTGGAGTAAGTGTCACTTGACAACCCAATGAATGCATTTGGGACAGGTCTCTCCCCAGGACAATTCCACATGGTATTGACTTGAGGACAAAGCTGGCCTTGTGAAGACCAGAGCACCCTTATAATCCTACTTTCTATCCTAGCCCAGTTTATTAGGACTCATTTGGTGATGGGAAACAGCTGCTTCATAAGAAGAAACCATTAAAAAACAACTTTTTCTTTTGCTCTACAGATAAAGGTTCACCTCCAAGTGTAGGAGTGCCCACCCTGTCCATAGTGGCTTCCACAGCAAGCTCTGTAGCTCTCATCCTCCTCTTAGTTGTGTTGTTTGTTTTGCTGCAGCCAAAGCTGAAGTCCTTTCATCACAGCAGGTGAGCTTCTGGGAGCTGGTGGAGATGACCTGTAACTAGAGGGCAGATGTTTGTGCATGCAGATGCTTAGAGAAGAGAAATGGTGTCTCTCTCGTTGCTGCTGTTGTCCTGCCTACAACCATGCTTATTGCCTGCTCCTTTTTTATTATTCTTTTTGTGTTATTTTCACTCTTGTGGATTTCTTCTCTAGGTTGAGTTCTAGTAGGCAGAGTATCTGCATTCTTTGGCAAAAAGTTGCTATCAGGCTGCTGATCCTCCTGCAAGTCTGCACAACTAAGACTGATCACTAAGCTTAATGCAGTCTAGCAGCTCCATGTTGCGACCTGCAAAGGCTTGATAAGCCTCTTGTTCTTATTGCCTCCAGGGGATTGTAGAAAAGGGGGCGGGGGCTGTGAAGACTGCATTGGGCTTGATGGTTCTCAAGTTGTGCAGGCCTCTAATGACTGCAGTCTCATAAGCTGTAGAGAAGATTTAGCCTTGGTAGTTCCTTGGGAAGCATTCCTTAGGCCCAGCTTTTACTGATGATTTTTGGCAGAGGTCCAAAACAGCCTGCTAAAAGCTGTGGCTGCCAAGATCCTACAATTTCCCTTGCTGGTTTGGCCACTGCATGGCCCAAAGAGCCTTCTCACCCTTACCTGCAGGAAAAGGGAGAGTGGGGGGCTTGCAGACTTGACCTTTGTGCAGCTGAGGTGCTCTTGGCACTTCAGTTACACAGTAGCTAAACAACCCCTATCCAGCCTCCCACTTTTGGAGCTGTGGGGAGGGATTGCAGTGCAACTATGTCCACCACCATAGTTCAAAGGTTGGGGGCTGCTCATGCTCACCTGATGGTGGCGATGCACTTGCTGAGTGGAAGCTTTGCTTTGGTCTTCACTTAGAGGGATAGGGGAGGGCTTAGTATAGAGGGTTAGTGAGCCTTCCAAGTCTCTGCTGCAGAGGCTGTTAAATGGCAGCAGTTAAGTAGCTATTGCTGTAATACAGGCATTAGTATGTGGGTTCTGGGTCATATAGAATCATAGAATTGTAGAGTCAGAAGGGACTCTGAGGATCATCTAGTCCAACCCCCTGCAATGCAGGAATATGCAGTTGCACCATACAGGGATTGAACTTGCAACCTTGACATTATCAGCACCATGCTCTAACCAACTGAACTATCCAGGCTTATTCACACAGAGCATATTTTGCAGCGAGGTAGAAGAAAGGCATGTTTTTTTGAGAGAGAAGGGACTTTCCATCTTACTAGTTTTTATATTGGAGCAAACAGCGAGCTTCACAGATGCAGAATGAGGCATAATTTTCCTTTCTAAGCCCAGTATCTGAAGTAGCAGGAGGCTTGGTGGTTGGGGAGAGAAAGTCTGCCTCTTAACAAGATAATGAACTCAGGGCAGCAATCACACAACACAGAAATTATTCATTGAGGAGAGCGCCAGAAACATCTGTGGTGCTCTTTTGCAATGTATGTAGGCGATGAGGCCCACAGTAACAGGCACTGCTTTGTTGCTTCATGGCTAATTTCTGCGGCAGTCCTGTCTGCTGTTCTGCTTTTACACTCTCCAATTTTGCATGGAAACAGATCTGAAGCTTAGTCTCAAACCATATAGACATGTTGTCTTTCCTATACCACTCTCTTGGATAATGGACACCCCCTTCCCCCAAAAGAAGAAAACATATGTGCATTCTTTTTTAAGGTGTGTTGTTCTTTGCAGCAGCAGCTGTGAAATGGAACACCCATTTTAGGGGGCGGGCAAACAGAGACCAATAATACTTGTCCATTTCACAGTTGTAAAACTGAGCAAAAGCCTATTTCACAGTAGGGAGAGTGGTGATGTTAGTTGTTTCTCTATTAAAGGTAAAGTGTAAAGGGACCCCTGACCATTAGGTCCAGTCGCGGACGACTCTGGGGTTGCGGCACTCATCTCCCTTTACTGGCCAAGAGAGCCCGTGTACAGCTTCCGGGTCATGTGGCCAGCATGACTAAGCCACTTCTGGCAAACCAGAGCAGTGCACGGAAATGCCGTTTACCTTCCCGCCGGAGTGGTACCTATTTATCTACTTGCACTTTGACATGCTTTTGAACTGCTAGGTCGGCAGGAGCAGGGACCGAGCAATGGGAGCTCACCCTGTCATGGGGATTCGAAATGCCGACCTACCGATCGGCAAACCCTAGGCTCAGTGGTTTAGACCGCAGTGCAACCCGCGTCCCTGCTGCTATCAATTCCATTGTCTCAGAAGCTGAAGCTCTTGCTTGAATTGGACATTCAAAATCTTACTCAGTTCTGGAGACTTGATGAGGGTTTGTTAAAACAAACACACACGTATGTGGTGGGAGGAACCCCAGACATTTCCCTGGAAATGCTGAGAATTTCCCCTCCTGCTATGTTCTGACACATGCTGTTCTTAGTCACATTATTCCCAGTCAGTCCAGCTGTTCTTAACCTGGATATAGGGTTCAGTGCCTAAGCATTCCTGGTTGAGGAGTCTCATTGAGCAGTTAATTCTCCTGACAGACAACTTTTGCTGCTGTGTGGACCATTTCTCTGGCTTCGGAGGCAGAGAGCTGTTCCACAGAAGCCCAGCAATATTGCGATACCAGCCCAGGAAGTTAAATGCCATAATTTTTTTTTATCAGGGCGCAGATTCCAGAGCTGTGGCTCCTCTCCTTGATTATGGGGTTATGGTATAGGGTGTTTGCTAATAGTTAATAAATTCACCTCAGTTTTCTGTCTGTTGCTTAACACTCATATGATACCGTTTGCTGATGAGGTGTATTGTCCCACCATGTCCCACCACTCTTCAGCAGCTTCTATAGTCATTTGTGTCCAATATTTCATGTGTGTGAGTCTTAGTCCCCCCTCCCTCAGTGTATAACTTACAGAGTTAGTATCGCCCAGTGCTCAGTTATGAACTGGGAGTGTCCAAGTTCAAATCTCAGTTCAGCCATGAACACACAGGGTGGTCTTAACATTGTTCCTTAGTCTCTTCCCTGCCCATCTGCAATGCACAGAGGGATGGTCGTATTGCCTGCCTTACATGCTTGTAAGGGCTGAGGTGTAAAGAGCTTAGAAACCTTAAGTGTATTTCCTTTTTCAACCCAAAAGGGAAGCATGGAGTTTGGCTGCCACATGGCTGGTGTGCCCTGGGTGCCATGACAGGCTAGGAAGCTCCTTGTTTCCTTTTCCTGCTCCAGCATTCCAGTTGCTAAATTGTCCCCAGCTTTCCTCCCAGGCTAGGAGCTGGGATGGGGATTAGATTGCCAAACAGTTGCTGGGATGAACCCTGCCCACCCACCCCCCGCACCTCCAAGGCCAGGAATCATGCTTCTTGCTTGCCATTGCCAGTGAAAGTGTTGAAGTCCAGTTATGCTGGCTGATTTCAAGTATAAAGTGTAATGAAACAGCATGTCAAGAAGAACTGAATCTAGGAGTTCTGCAGATACAGTATTGCACAAATGCTTTTGTATTCTTGGGCATCACAGACCATAATGTGGATTCTTTCTCTAAAATTCTAATGCAGGCGTGATCAAGGTGTTTCTGGGGACCAGGTTTCCATCGTGGTGGATGGAGTCCAGGTGGCACTGCCATCCTATGAAGAAGCTGTCTATGGCAGTGCTGGGAACTGCATACCTCCTTCGGATTCACGGGTACAGATTGTCCTTTCAGAGGGAGCTGGGCAAAGTGGAGCGAGGGAGATGCAGCAGCCACCAGACCAAGTGGGTCACAACTGCTTTGCTGGGGAGGATGAAATCCCTGGACGTTCTGGACTGTGTGAAGCTAGCAGCTCTCACCACTCGGAGGCTGTTCTAGTTCATCAGGCGACCACCTCCTCTTGGGTTGCTGGTGCATCTTGTAGCAGACCTGGGCACAAAGAAGCTCCAGACTCAGAAAGCAGTGATGTACAAAGCCTTCTATCACTTGCTTCCTCAGAGGAGTACACGGATGGTAAGCAAACTGAAAAATAAGTCTTTCACCTAAACTCCTGCTAATTGGAATTTTAAAAGTTCATATATCCTAGTGTTTCCAAAGTGCCTTTCACCTTACAGTGGAACATTTACAAGGAGAAATACTTTATTAAAAGTACTAGGATCCTCCTCCCTTCTCTTCCCCCTTTCTCCAACGCACAATCCCTAACAGCGTTCTGGTATAAGTCATTCAGTAATGGACTGAGTAATGATGTTGCTTCTGGTGTGGATCTACAATGGTGGCTATTCATTGGACATAAAAACTGGCAATCACAATTGTACTGCACATTCTGGGGGGGGAACCCCCTACACATTACAGTTTTTTTCTTTGTGAGTGGAAAGAAGTGGATCATAGCTGCTAACTAGCAGCACCTAGACTGGTGACTGGGAGTGGCCGCTGGGACCATTTAACCCCGGTCCTAAAGGATCTTCATTGCAGAGGCAGAGCTAGCTGGTCTGGCACCTGGAGTGGCATGCACTGGGGGGGGGCTAGTGTCCCGGGGGCGGGGCAAGCGTCCCAGGGAGACGCCGCCCACGGTGAGCATCCCGGGGGGTGCGCCGCCCACCGCAAGCATCCCGGGGGGCGGGGCAGCAATGCTACGCGCCCCTCAGGGATGACACCCGGGGCGGGCTGCACCCATCTTGCTCTGCCTCTGCTTCATTGGTTCCCAGTGTGTTTCCAAGCACAATTCAAAGTGTTGGTGCTGACCTTTAAAGTCTTAAACAGCCTCGGCCCAGTATACCTGAAGGAGCATCTCCTTCCTCATCATTCAGCCTGGACACTGAGGTCCACCTCCAAGGGTCTTCTGCTAGTTTCTTCACTGTGAGAAGCGAGGTTACAGGGAACCAGGCAAGAGGGCCTTCTCGGTAGCGGAGCCCTCCCTGTAGAATGCCCTCCCATCAGATGTCAAGGAAATAAACAACTATCTGACTTTTAGAAGACATCTGAAGGCAGCCCTGTATCAGGAAGTTTTTAATGTTTGATGTTTTAGTATGTTCTGATGTATGCTGTGAGCTGCCCAGAGTGGCTGGGAAAACCCAGCCAGATTTGCGGGGTATAAATAATAACTTTAAATAAATAAATAAATAAATATCAAAAACTTGTGCCCACCAGATAGCCTTCTATGAGACCCAATTTTTGCTTCCCATCACAAATAAAATTGTCCGTGTTTGAAACAAGCCAAGAACAACAACAAAAGCACATCCTTATCTTGTAATCTGAATAAACTCTACCAAATTAGTAAAGTTCTAAATGTGCATAATTAGTTCCAGCTGCTGAACTCCGGACTTTGTATTTTCATGAGGATGACAGAAAGTGCAGGATGTTGTGTGTGGAGGGGAAGAGAGAAGTTGATCCTTTCTGCTGTGATTATTTTGCAGTCCTTTGACACCTGCTGAAGAAAGCAGCTTTAGTCAGTAAGCCTTAGTCTCTCATCCCAAGAAAATCCTCAATAGTTAAGAGACTTTGGGGCTTTGCTAGGGGAAAGTCCTTGAAGAAGCATGACTGACAAGGGTTTTAAAGGGTGGCTCATTTTTATAGAAGCTTGACATGGTCAAATAAGAACTTGATAAACGGAAAGGGCTCTATGGACAGCCGAGACTTATATCAAGACTGTGCTGTGTGGTATTTCAGATATGGAACGTAAACACAAAAGATTGTTTAACTTGTCTTTTTTTCTCTCTTCCTCTCTCCCAATCCAGATATTCCATTGTTGAAAGAAGCATGAGGCTTGCTGCGTTTGTCTAGCCTTTTCTCTCCATTTTCCTTCTTCCGGGATGGTGAGCACTCCTCGCAGACTTTCCCCGCCTTCATGCGCTGTGCCCTGAATACCTCCAGACACATACCCCATAGCTGAAGATCCAAAGGATGCCGCCAGGATGCCTCCTCGATGCATCAGTGGGGTGTACAGGGTGCCAGCCATTCCTCCCCACATTTTATCTACATTAAGGGGGGGCTTCAGTGACATCAGTGGACTTAAGCTCCTCATACCTCTCCCCTACCCCACCAAATGTTTGAGTGTGGTCCCTGGAGAGCTGCTATTTACTTGTGCCTTGCTCCTTCTCACACTGGCTTGTTGCAGCTTCTCGTGGGCTTTACTAGCTTCTGGATTTCTGCTCAGAAAGCAGGGCCAAAAAACAACAACTAAGCTTGCTTTTCTGGGTGCAAAGAGTTTCCTTCCATTTATTCACTGTCTTATGAAGGCAAGTCAGAACACCTCTGGATGGGCTGTGAGGAGGGGTGGGTCAGAGTCCAGTTGTAGTGACATACACATACTGTTGCCCTCAACATAGACTACTTAACGTAGCTGCACTTGAACTTGGGCAGTGTTGGCTATGTTAAAGGCCACTGCAACTTGCCGACCTTTTTTCTTTTTTCTTTTAAAGAAAAACAAGATCATTAATGGCAAGCTTAGGCTGCCACTTGCTTTTCTTTGTTTCCCAAAGAGAGGGAGAAAGCGAACACTTGCTGGGGTGAAATGTCTGTACCTCTGCAAGCTTCCATTTAAACAAAACAAAACTGTCCCCCCTCTATCTTGGTTCATCAAAGACGATTCTCTAAACTTGGTGTGAGCTGAAGTCTAGGGTTGTCTTGAGACAAACAGCTTAGAGCAATTCAATCTATGACCAGATTTAAGAGCACTTGCATTGAGAAGCCCACATGGAAAATGACTGCCCTCTTCCTAGAACAGCCAGCCTGCCAGCAATACAACAGCTGTACCATAGTTGATCCAAAGCCTTTCATCTTGGAGTGTGTTGAGCTCGTTTTCTGTGGAATGACTGTAGGATGTCAGTGTGTGTGCACATTGTGCTGTTCCCCGAGTAGGGTTCATCACCTATGCCTTTACTTTGACCCACCTTAATGAGAGAGCAATTTTGGCCTCACCACTTTATTTTTGTTGCTGTTGTTGGGTCCCATCCTTGCGAAAGCAATGCCAGGGGTTTTAGTGTTTAGCCTGCATTGCTTATGTCTTCCTCCTGGTTCTGTTAGAACCTAGTCATTGGAAAATGGATCACCATTAGCAAGTACCTAGCTTTTTGTATCTGGCATGTCCTGTTTGCCTTGAATGAATAACAGTGATAGTCTGCCTTAAAACAAAATAGAATGGAAAGAGCCATGCTGCTGTCTTTACCCTTTTGGAAGACCCCTTGCCCCAGTTTCTTCCTCCACCCACTCCCATTGCACACTGCTTCTTTCTATGCAGGGAATATGTTCACTTACCTCCACCTTTTTCCATATAAATATACTTATTGCTCTTGTTTATCTAGCCCTCTGTGGTCAGTGCATTGCAGTTTGATGGCATCATGGAAGTATAAATTCCCAGATTTTCTCCAGTGAGCCTTCCTTAATTGAACAGTTCTGTGACCTTTCCTAAAGATTCCTACAACAAAAGTGGAACGGCTTGGTTGCCAGTTCTCACACTTGGCCCTGTCTTAAAGCCAGGGTGAGCACACAGAACCACAGTGTGCTTTAAAATATCAAGGGAACTAGAAAGCCCATCCTTTGAAAAATGGAAGTGGCAGAGGTCAACCCCGTTTACTGCCTCATAACAATGCATTAACATGGGAGACAGCTGTGGAAAAAGGCAGCACTTTGCCTCCCCCCCCCCCAACCTGCCTACCACCAACAAATCTGAATGGGAAGCAGCACGATTCCCTGGGCCACTGTCCGTGTTCTCCAGCATCAGATGGGCATTGCACACTGTGCACATTCCACATGAAAGCACACAGTTTGGTACTGAATATAGACCCAAGCATTCAGATAATTACAGGTTGCAGCTTTAATTCAAAGCTGTTTAGCTCCTTTGTGAAAATTGCCTTGCAGATCTGTGGGCGATGTATCTGATTGAAATCAGACCATTGTCTTTTCATCGCCGGCTTATTTGTATGCTGCTTTCTCACAGGATTTTGCTCAGATTGGTTCACAGCGTATCTAGGGACTGGCAACCGCAATTAAAAGAACGTAAGAAAAAATAATTTAATGATAATTAGAAAAAAACATCATTTAAAAATCAGTATGTACAATGCCGTGGAAAACAATATACACATGCTAACGTAACAGTTTAAAATTAAGCAGAAGAGAGAATAAAGTTTCAGGGCTGTGCATAGTTCCTCATGCTTCATCCTGATTAGCAGAAGCAAGCTAAATTGCCCAAGAGTAGCCCAATGGATGGCAATTAGTTTGCTTTTTATAATGTATACAGGCCACAGAAATGTGGATTACCTTGATGCCCAATATTGGCTGTTATCACAGAATACATACATGGCCCTAACCTTAGGCTTTCCAGGCTTGCTCTTTGAGACCCCCAGTGGTAGAGCAGGTTCTCTCACCTTGTTCAGAGAGTGCTGCTCTTCTTCAATGTGGTGTTTAGATCAGCCTTCACTAACTGGATGCCCTCCAGATGATTTGGAGTACAGTTCCCATCAGCCCCAGCCAACACAGCCATGCTGTGGCTTAGATTCCTCTGCTGTTTATAAAAGAAAGCCTCCCCCCCCACCCTGCCTGATATATTTGGGATGTTGTTGCATGGGGAGGTTATATCAGCAATTAAAGAGCACCATTTATGCAGAAGGATTTAGCTGTGCCCATATCTATCATCTTGAGTTGCAGTGACCGAACTGCTAAATGTTTTGGACGGTGTGAAAGAGTGGCAGAATTTTGGGTGACACCTAGCCCAAAGAAAAGTATCTAGTTTCTTCCTTTTTTTGTTTAACAACAGAATGAAGCAATAACACCACTCTTAATTTCCATCCCCCATCCACCTCTGGATGGTTCATATTTTTTGTGCAGGTACATGAAGAGTCAGATATCAACTTGGGTCTTAAATCTGGAATAGGCATTTCACCTGAGTAATTTAAATGAGGGACACAAAAGAACTTTATGGTTGAAATCTTATGGGAGACAACAGAAGAGCAGTTTTTCTCTTTCATAAAATTTGGTTTTTGAAAAATGAAATACAAATGTTACAGTCTTCAGGCTAAGAATGTAGGTGCCCCCCCCCTTTTTAAGATTTTCTATTCTCAGGTTCTTAAATACAAATTTATGAAGGGCAAGAATAGCAATAGCTATTATCTATAATGCTCAGGGCATCTATTCTAATGCTCAGGCTGGAAATGAAGGGGGTCCTCTGTTTTAAAACCATGACACATTTTTTAAGAATTCTGAGACATCAGTTGAAACAACCACTGGCCCAATGCTGTGTGGCTGTTAGGTGCCTAATAAGTCAACTAATTTAATTAAATTCTTCCAGTCTTGTGTACAGAATGCCAGATGCTGCAAGGACACACTTTGTGCCTGGCAAGAATAAAACTCCTCTAAGGTTGTATTTGTCTACTTTTGAAAATTGTAGGCATCTAGAATTTGATTCTGCAGGCTCACCTTGCCCTTTGAATGCTGGAACATAACACCTCTGATAAATGAGTGGTTCCCATGCCATGTCACCCTCCATTTAGAATATTGGTTGATCATATGAAACTGCCTTATACTGAGTTAATGCTGGTCCAGAAAAGTCTACTCTGACTGGCAGAGGTCTTTCCCAGCTGAAGTGGGGTGTGTGTGTGTTTGTGTGTGTGTGAAGAGCTGAGGAATTGAATGTGGGACCTCTTGTGTACACTGCATGTACTCTACCACTGAGCAATAGCTCTTCCCTTATACTTCCATGCACCTACTGCTAAAAGCAAGATAACACTTGTTTAAACTAAAATGCAGCACTTCTCCAGTGGTTAGATACCTACTGTGGTAAGCTGCCAGGATATTTGTGCATCCAGTTTATGTATGGCACATACAGCAAGTGTCTCTTAAAACAGCTGCTGCTGACATTGGAGACCTGCTGGAGAGAGGGCAGGAGTCAAGATTGTCTGTTTGAGGTATGATGAGGCCCATTAACTATCAATGACCCAAGAAGCTTTAGCATTTACAGGAAGCCTGATGTCCTTGCCATGGTGTCACTCCTGTTGTAGGAAAATCTGAAACCTGGGAGCCCATGCAAGTTGCGGCAAGTAGGATTACCATTTAGGTTGCAATACCATACACATTTACCTGGAAGTAAGTCCCACTTAACTTAGTGAGGCTTACTTTTCAGCAAACACTTGTAGGATTGTGCATTCAGGTTTTTCAGGTGCTTAGCTTTGAAACTTGCTCTCACGTAAAATAAGTTGGAGCAATAGGTGAAGTAAGACATTGGATTGGCTTTCCATTTTTAATGGCATGAATACAGTAGGCTTTGATGCACCCTACAGATTGAGAAAAAACTGGCAGGACAATGGATGAAGGGGAACTGGAGGGGCTGGACACTTGGGTGCAGGCTTCTCTTGCATCAACTCTTTTCTAGGGCCACTTCTGGTACACATTTTTTCTCACTGGAGCGCTTTTGTATGATAATTCCTTGCAGCATTTTTAGGCAGAGTGTTAAATGCATGTTACTAACTCTGAGAGAGAAAGGTGCCGCCCAGCTCCTCATTGCCTTTTAGAAGTAAGTGGAGATTGAAAGGGCTTTTTTGTACACTCCATACTTAATTTTTACCACTTTCTCGTTGAGAGATTTTCTTTTGGATACCACAGGGGCTTTTTGCACATGAGAATGCATACTCATGTCTACCAAATAAATGAGTAAATACCACATTAGTTGGCTTCTGTGGCACATGGGGAGAGCGTTTCCAAAATCAAGATGCTCGTGGTACCTGCACTAGGGTAATATAGCACATGCACAAACTGAAACTGTTAGTGTACTGTTTCTTAATCCTTGTGAGGAAGTCTGTGACATCCTTGACCAACCTGCTGCCCACCAGAGGTTTCTTACTACAGTGTTTTCAGGTGGTTTAAGCAGTACTGGATGCATTGTATTACAGCTCTACCATCATTTCCAAATATGGTCCACCCGTACACGTTGTTCAGAAAAACAAAGTTGGCCGCAAGTTAAGATCAGTTCACAATTTACACGTCTATGGAGTGACTACTGTCTAGTGTCTGTAAACACGTCAATACGTGCATTTCTGTCACACTTTATTATTATGGGGAAACCTGTGGACCTCCAGATGTTGTGGGACTACACCTCCAATTATCCCTGACCATTATTCATCCTGGTTGGGGCTGATGTTTGTTCCCACCCCTGCATCTACAATAGATGTTGTGCCCACAGCAGAAAGAACTGCTGTTTTGATGTGTGAATCAGCCCTCTGTTTCCCTTACTGCTTTTATAGTAGCGTAGTGAGCATACAAACAAAGGACTGAGTATGGGGGGTTTTTTTGGTAGGAAACCTTCCATTGGCTTGATTCATGTTAGGTAGTATCCTATGGAGATCTCTCTCTCTCTCTCTCTCTCTCTCTCTCTCTCTCTCTCTCTCTCTCATGCTTCAGTCCTGGGCTTCTTTCCTGCAGATTTTTAAAAAATTGCTTTTGGAGTTGACCACCTCTGTCACTTTATTAAGATTTCAATGCTTGCACCAGAGGAGATGTGTGTTGAATGGTGAACACTTCTATGTTGATATATATCTTGAGATACTGGCTTCTGCTAATACTGGTTGTCCATTTCTACTGGAGATAGCACTGCTGCATTTGCTTTTACATGGAAGCTCACACAGTTCAGACCAAATGTTCCATCAGAACAAGCACTTGCACACCTTCTGTTACCCAGTGGGCAGGCTGCAGGTAGTTGGAGATGCAAACACACAGGGAGAACCTGGTTGCCTTCAGTGCTTCTTATTTGTTTGTAATCTGAGTTGCACCACTATGAAACTATTTGCAGAATGGTACTCGTATATATGTGGGATTTAAAAATACCATAACGCTGTGCAGGATGTCAATCAGTTTTTATTTTGCTTTATTTTATATATATATATTTTTCTGGTATCCTGTACATTGAAGTGGGTGTGAAGATAGTATTTTAATATTTGTACAAAGTTTAATTTAATTTCAATTATTCTATGTATATAACTGCATTTCTAAATTAAAAAAAAATCTTTTGAAGTTAATTGCTTGAGGGTTATTTTTGTCTGTACAAGAAGTATTCTGATGTAATCCTGCTTGCTTCCTTCCTGATACCATATAGCTGAATAATGGCCCATTTATCAAGCTCATAGAACAGAAGGCTCATCAATTTGGAAAGCGAATTTCTCTGCTGGCAGAGAAATTGCTAGCACGCCTCCTTCATAGAATCAGAGAATTGTAGAGTTGGAAGGGACCACGAGCGTCATCTAGTCAAACCACCTGCAAAATCTTTTGCCCAATGTGGGGCTCCAACCCATAATTCTGAGATTAAGAGTCTCAATGCTGTACCGAATGAGCTGTTCAGCAACTGGCTCACCTGGGCAGAGGGACACCCCTATTCAGTCTCTAACCCCTTCCCCCCAAACAGCCCAGCATAAGTGCTGTTTGGATTGCTCTGTTACTAAGGATCTTTTGTGTTTCTCCAGCCTGGCAGTTTTCTTATACGGCAAGCTTGAGGCAAAGTTTTTCCATTTTGGGAGACATGGTGCAGGGTTTTTTGTTTTGTTTTTTAAAACTGAATAGTCAAAAGTGGCCAAAAAAACCACTTGAGATCCCCACCAGTTCATTCTGCATCAGGGAGATCCTACTTTCATTCTGACAAGTTCCAAATTTGTCTGAAACAGCCCCACTTTGGTTTGGGAGTCATCAGTCTCTTTTTTTACACCCATGCTACTTGGTGATAGTTTAAATACTGATTGTTCTTTCCATTTTGGTGGAGAGTGGGTGGCCACGGGTGAGAAGCCAGATGGCTGAGAACTGAGCTGTGAAAGGAAACATATATTTGGACACTCAGGTTTAGAGGGACCTAAACAAGAAAGTTCAGGAACTAGCCGGGGTATCCACTTTATTTGCTGAGAGGCAGAGATAAGGAAAAAGGAAAGGACCCCTGCTAGGCCTTTTCTGAGAGGGAAAGGCAAGAATGAAATTCACACGCTACTCAAGCTGAGATTTCCTGTGTACTTGTGGTTAATAAAGTCAAAGATTTAGTCTTACAAAACATTAATGTTTACTGGAAGCTTAAAATGTTGGATTGGTCTCTAGGTTCAAAGCATCTTTGGTTTCACAGATTACAGGTGAAACTCGGAAAATTAGAATATCGTGGAAAAGTTCATTTATTTCAGTAATTCAACTTAAAAGGTGAAAATAATATATGAGATAGACTCATGACATGCAAAGCGAGATATGTCAAGCCTTTATTTGTTATAATTGTGATGATCATGGCGTACAGCTGATGAAAACCCCAAATTAACAATCTCAGAAAATTACAATATTAAATGAAATCAGCAAAACAAGGACTGCAAATAGAGCAATATTGGACCTCTAAGAAGTAGAAGCATGCATATGTACTCAGTACTTGGTTTGGGCCCCTGTAGGTGCTTATAAATTCACTACTACACCAAAAGACAAAGAGGGATTAAGTGAGGGATTCACAGCACCCTTATACTCATTCTTGCTCTCCCATCCACGCAGAAACACAAATACTTAAGTTGCTGAACATCATAGGACTGTACTCTTAACATGGCTTCCCATAAGCTGAAGAATTTGGTTAAGATGCACAGTTGTAACATTCTGATGCAACATTAGGTCAATGGAATATCAGTGTCCTGCTCTTAGCAGAGGAAAAGGATTGGGAAACAAGACCAAGGGAAAGTATAGAATGAGTGCCAATGCTGGAGAACATGGTTGTTACATCCATAGCACATATGTTAAAGAACGAAGAGTCCTGCTGGATCCGACCAAAAGTCCATCTAGTTCAGCATCCTTTTCTCGTAGTAGCCAATCAGATGACAATGGGAAGCCCGCAAAGTGGACCTGAGTGCAACAGAACCACCCCTACCTCCAGGTCATTTATGGACAAGTTAAAAATCACAATCATGGAGATTTTCAAGTTCTGTCACTTCCTGCTTACAAAACACTGATACGGCATTAGCCCAGGTGGTTTCTTCAATCTGGAGGGGGATAGAGGACTAGATGAAAAGATCTAGTCAAGCAGGCAATACAGCAACAGGAAAGTGAGATACCAGGAGGAGGAACCCAAAACTGGAATGACAAGCTACATCTATTAGCCCTTGATAAGGAGAGGTGATAAAGGTAAACTCGCCATTCCAGTTTTGGTTTCATCTCCCTGGTATCTCACTTTCCTCACCTATATCAATAAAGGTTGTGTCTGGGATTATAGTTGCTTCTTATTTATTGTTCTTCACACTTTTTATGGTTTTATAACCTCCATGTATATCTTCAATTACCATAACTTCTTCCAAAGAATCCTTTACAAAGTGGCTGTAATGGCTTTGGAATCATTCACCCTTTCTCCTCTTATTATATTTATTATAAAAGTATTTATATACTGCTATTCATTTAAAAAACAAATCAGTGGCTTACAACAGTCTGTATATGTGTGTGTGTGTGTATGTGTATAAAAAACAGTAACTAAGTTGGTCTGTGTGGCAGAGTCTACAAAAAGCTTAAAATTGTTAGCCTTTAATTGCCACAAGACTCATCACCACTTGTAAAGATGCCCAATGTTTCTTAAAGGTATAGAGGTCATCATTACAGTGGTCCATATGGTGATACCATAGTCTTGCCTGCAGCATTATGATTGCTTTATTTCCCACCTTACTGTAACAACCCCTTTAGGTTTCCAGTTTTGTTAAGCATCCATTTGCATGTATTTTTAAATGGTCTTATTTCAGTATAAGTGATTACTTTTGCTTGAAAAACAGCACTTAGACAGTAACTTCCAAAGCAGCCCTGACCTGCAACTAGTCTTCTCAACTCTGACTGCCAAAACCTATTGCAGGAGTTAGCTGAGGCTGAATTCGTTGCTATCTTTCATTCTGCTTTCCTTACCTTAACCCCCAAAGCCATTGAAGGTGGGTGTGATTTGTCTATCACACAGCTAAGTTTATAAACTAAGTCAAACCACAGGCTGTAAGTGGGGAAATGAACACCAGGCTTTTAAAACGCTCTTTCCTGTGTAGGCGGGTTTCGTGTAAGGTGTGTGGGTGGTGACCGCAGCTTCAGGGAAACTGGCTTTTTTTAAAAAAATTATTTGTTCATTGTTTTGCGCAAGGTCAGGCTTTCCTGCAACACTTGCAGCTGGGATTATTTTTCCCCTTCCAGTGTTTATCTGACAAATCGTGTACTGGAAAGAATTTGTCTCTATGGTTTCATGCCTGTAATAGTGAGGTGGGGTATATGCGACATGACTGAGCAAGTCAGAGGGTGAGGAAGGAAGTATTTGTGTCTCAGATAAGGAATTGTGGTTATGCTTCTGTAAACCAGAATGGGGCATTCCAAGCATCCAAAGGCCTGAACCAGGCAAAGAGAAGTGTCTGCCTCTGTCCGTCAAGCCTGCCCAACAGAAAGTAGCCAAAGAATAAGACTATCGCTGCTGTCTTGCTCAGCCAGCCAGCACTTTGTCAATCAGTTCAGCTTATTGCAGAAATTGCTTCCAAGCCATTCAAATCCATGGGGTTTGTTTGCCTGCACGATCCAATCAGCACTCATTATATGCACTTCTTTGGCCTGTAAACAACGTTAAGGATGATTTGCGGTGCCTTTGGTTCACTGCTCATGCTCTCTCCAGCTCAGCCTCCCTTCATTAAAGCCTTAATTTCCATCTAGCGAGAGCGTTCTCAAAAGGGCAAAATACAAATTAACAAACCCTTCATTGAGGGATTTGAGATTAAGGGTTATCGGATTTTAGAATTGCGTAACATGCTGGGACATTAAACGCAGAATAGCCTTTTGCCCTCATCCCTGACTCAAATGTGTCAGTATTTGTAAATGCACTTCCTTGCATTCATCCTGGCCCCTCCTGTTCCTGTTTCCCTCCAGCTGTTGATGCTTGAGCTCTAAACACCTTGCGGTGACGCGGGGTGAGTTTCAGAGAAACGGGTAGTGAGTTTGCAGCCCTATTGTGCTGGAGAGAGGCTGCTCATAACAGGGAAAGTCTGAGACCCCGCCTGCACTGTACATTCAGAGCGGCATCATACTGCTTTGAACAGTCATGGCTTCCCCCAAATAATCATGTAGTTCCTTAAGGCTGCTGAGAGGTGTGAGGAGATCCCTTTCCGCCTCTTTGGGAAGAGGGATTCATTGTTAAACAACTGTGACAATTGCAGCTCTGTGAGGGGAACAGGGGCCTGTTCACAACTCTTAGTACCCTTTACAAATGACAATTTTCAGAATTCTTGGGGGGGGGGGAGGGAAGGCGTGACTGATTAAAGTGATATGATACTGCTTTAAATGTATAGTGTCAATGCGGCCTAAGAGGTGTGAGCAAGGAAGAGCCGGTACTGTTCCATTTGCCTTGCTCTTATATGTGCAGTGCTATTTTTCTAGAAAAAGAGGTGCCAGAATGCACCATGGACGCCTTCCTTGTTCTCTTAAAATGGCAATTGTGCCCACCTGAGAGGCGTCTGAACTGAGTTCCAGCTGAAAAAAAAGCCCTGTATGTAAGACAGTTGCAATAGAGAAAGCCCATTCACCACACTTGTCTCCCTCCGACCCACCCCTCCAAAGACCCTGTGGTTTTGACAGAACTGATAGTTCAGCTTTTCAAACGGCTTAAAAGGAAGAATGCAGGGATCTACTAAGAATAAAGGGAAGTATGAGCCAGAAGGGGGAAAGTGTGCTTATCGGTGGAGAACAGGCCCTGGTTTTGTCATTGAAATTCAGTCATCTGTCAGTCCCAGCTGTAGATTGTTTGCCTCAAAATAGTCTGCTAGTAGGAACCCTCCCATGCAGCCTTAACAATCTCCTCCTGTGCCGGTCAATGTGCTTTGCTGTGGGGCCACACAGTGCTCTTTTATCTCCCTTATTTTACTCTGTGATTATCCTTTTATGTGCAGCTCCGCTTTTAATCGTGAACCCTTAAAAGCGCAAGGGAGGAAAGGAGGCAAGAATAGAGAGAGGGAGCCCCAAGAGAGCTTCTGACACGGAAGGCGTCTGCACACAAAAGAGAGGATTCCATCCTGATGCCTCTGGGGCCTGGCTGCCAGCTGCTCTGCCATAAAGGACAGGCATGACATCACAACTTCCACATCTCCCCATGAAAAGTGCTGAGTTGCTCTGTCCTGCAACAATACAGATAGCACATTGTGAATCACAAAAGGGCCATATTCCATCTGCGCTGAGGGAGATGAGGAGTGACTGCGGAAACACAGAAGTGCTGTATTCAGTGATTGTTTACAAGATGACTAAAATCTTCACATGCCTTACGATACCACACGCATTCCCTTCAACTGGGCCTGCAGTCTCTGCAAGACACACGTGCTGGAGGGGGAGAATTTGGTTGGCCTTCTCTCCCATTGGGTGTACCGTAGACCGCCTTCATTAACGTCTAAGTTTCTTGATCTGGACAAGAAACTTGGCCAAGATCTGGACAGTAAATCCAATGGGGTGCCACTGGATAACAACAACAACAACAACAATTTATTTATACAACAACAACAACAAATTATTTATACCCCGCCCTCTCCTGTCAAGGCCGGGCTCAGGGTGGCTAACACCAAATATAAAATACAGTAAAAAACAACAACACAAAACACATTTGATTAAAATACAGCTTAAAATAGAACCTCGTTTTAGTGGCAGCCCATAAATCAAGACCATAAGTGGAGGAAACATCAAATCATAGAATCATAGAATCATAGAGTTGGAAGAGACCACAAGGGCCATCTAGTCCAACCCCCTGCCAAGCAGGAAACACCATCAGAGCACTCCTGACATATGGTTATCAAGCCTCTGCTTAAAGACCTCCAAATATTAACCAGGGCCAGTTATCCATGCTGGTCCTACATGGGCCAGCAAAAGGGCCAAGGGAAAATTTATATACTGGATCCCATATAAGGCATCCCATATAAAGGGTTCCATAAAAAAAGAAGAAGAAGAAGAAGAAGAAGAAGAAGAAGAAGAAGAAGAAGAAGAAAGGGGGGTCAGATTGGGTCCAGACCAAAGGCCTGGCGGAACAGCTCAGTCTTGCAGGCCCTGTGGAAAGATGTCAAATCCCTCAAGGCCCTGGTCTCCCGTGACAGAGCATTCCACCAGTTCAGGGACGGTGCTGAAAAGGCCTTGGCCCTGGCTGAGGTCAATCTAACCTCCTTGAGGCCCGGGACCTCCAAAGTGTTGTTATTTATGGACCGTAAGGTCCTCCACGGGGCATACCAGGAGAGGTGGTCCCAGATGGTGGAGGTCAAGGCCTGGGTTTTCTGTGATGGCTCCTGCATCTCCTACCCTCCCCCTTTAAAAACTCCATATATAACATTGCTTATATATGGGGACGACAGAGGACGAGATGGTTGGACAGTGTTTTCAAAGCTACCAACATGAGTTTGACCAAACTGCGGGAGGCAGTGGAAGACAGGAGTGCCTGGCGTGCTCTGGTCCATGGGGTCATGAAGAGTCGGACACGACTAAATGACTAAACAACAACAACTTTGCCTGTAGGGCAGCTCCATGCAGTGCTTTTTTGGGACAAAGTTGTTGAGCTTTTTTTTTAGTTTTGCACAAAGTTGTTGAGCTTTCTTTGCAAAATCTAAAGTAAGAGAGAGAGAGAAGAATTTTTGAGCTATTTTTAAGGAAATTCATCCAAATATACACTTCTGACATGTGTTGCCATACGTCCAGCTTTTCCCGGACACCATCTTTATTTCCCTTTGGCATCTATACATCTCAATGGACAAATGCTAATTTTATGGAAATGTGTGTCATGGGCCTAAGTTCGCATCTTTAAAATGCCCAACAATGCTCCTAGGCATATCTACATTACCTACAACTTCTACCAAGTAACTTTAGGCTTCTAGCTATCTTTTTTTTTTAATGCACTGTGCTAGCTGCAGTACGACTTCATTGTCTTTTTATTTATTCTTTTGTTACTTATACATTGTATTCTATAGGTTTCAAATTGCAATAACAATCAAATATAAGAAATAAAAGAAGAAAGAAAAATGAAAGAAAAAGCCAATAGTCTGATGGATCGCTGCCTTCCATCTTCCATGATGCATTCACAGATACTCCATGGACCAAATGAATGAATTTTTCATACCACTGTTTGGGAAACCCTGACCTAGAGCAAAACGCTGGCACTGGGAGCATATCCAATCCATTCTGCAACTGTTTCACTTGCTGTTGGTTAG